CTGTTCCTATGTAAGTCAATCACAGATAGTTGTTTTTTTTCAAGCAGGTCAAACATTCAGAGTAACATTCCCTGCCTGCATTGTTAATAACACAGCGATTGGCCAATGAGTTTAGTGATGCTGTTCATGGCAGACAAAGCGCATAGCTAATGGTGCTTGAAGATTACATCAGACCAATCAGAAGATACCTCACTTTTTTATGTCTTTGCCACAGGTCAGTGCAGTTATAAATCTCTTTAAAAAAATTAACTGCAGTTACTGCCATGTCATATCCCAGGATCCAGTTGCCAGATTGCCTTCATTTGTGCCATGTTGTTAGAAAGACGCTGACACATTTTTTTGCTCAGTTCTGTGGCTAATGAGTGATCAAATTTACTTTGTATAACTAATGTCACCCGTGTGTAATTGCATTATTACTAAAATAATAACTCTGTGCCTAATTGAAACTATACTATCATTATTACCGGATGTGCCACACACAAAATGCAATAACGCAGCTGATGAGAAATCAAAATTATTTCAGCAAATCGTGAGTGAGGGAATACAAGTATCGTGTGATAATGTAAAAGTTAGAAAGGACAGAGATGCAAAAGGTGACCAAGATAGAAGATGATGAACAGTTTAGGAAATTTCTAATGGTCCATGCTGAAATTTAAAAAAAACCACTGAGCCCTTATAAGCGGCAAAACCTGTACAAAAACACTTCATTGTTTAAATATATTATCTGGAAATGCAATTCATCTAAAAACTGCCAAATAACTGAGTCAATTCAACTCAGCTTGGTAAGTTACTGTTTAAGTTAATTGTGTATCCTCGTCAAGGACATCACAGACCAATTACAGCATCTTTCGGTCGTTTGTGACTTTACATTCGGGGCGTCTGCCATTATTTTCTGAACAGACAAAGTTCATACAACTGCTGAAATCAACGGGGAAAAGTCTGTCAAATCTCCTCCAGCTTAATTGAAATTGGTATGACTGAAATATGAGACTGTGTTCATAACCCCCAAAGCCCCAGGCGAGAAATAATACAGGCACGACAGGAAATCTTTATAACCCGAAGAAAGTGAGTTTACAGTACTATCAAGAATACGTGTCTTCATGAGCCTTACAGCTGTGACACAATGAGCATGGATTTAGCGGAACAAAAAAACATCAGCTTCATCAACTTCACTAAAACAACACAGAGGATAATTATGCAGTATGATCTGGAGACCAACCTAATGAGTTTCACCGAATACCGTCTGTCTCAAAACCTCACCTATTATGGCCTCATTACAGAAGTGGTGGTAGGCAGCGTGGCCAACATTCTGGTTCTTATAATAATGTTAGGACTAAGGCATCTACCTATATGCAATTACATGGCTGCGCTGGCTGTGGCAGATTTATCTGTTCTGCTGGCATCATGTCTGGAGCATTGGCTGACCATAGACACTTATGACATCTTATCAGTGCACACTGCTGCATGCCGCATTCTGACCTTCCTGTCCTACTCAAGTTTTAGTCTCAGTGCCTGGCTTCTTGTTGCAATGACCGTTGATCGCTACATTGCAATCACTTTCCCTTTGAAAGCACTCAGACTTTCTACAGCTTACAGAGCCAGAATTGTTATCGCTGCTCTGATCATCACCATAGCTTTAATCAATTGCCACTTTTTCATAACTTTTGTTGTGGAGGAAACAACAGGAAAACAAAACTACGTGTGTGTCAGTTATGCTAAATATCGTTACTTTGTTAGCACAGTATGGCCATGGATTGACGCTACAGTCTACTCTTTTCTTCCCTTCACATTTCTCATTATATTCAATTTCCTTATTATTCTAAGTCATAGAAAGTCTACCAACATGCGCTCGGCACTCAGGGGGGAAAGGTCAGAAGAAACAGTTGTGACTTCAAACCAAGTCAGTCGTAGAATTACATTGACTCTGCTTATTGTGACATTTACATTTATCATTCTGACTGCCCCCAGTGCTATTCTGCTGATTATCAGACCGACGGTGTTCAAATTCAAGCCAACTGCAACAAAAGTCGACTACAAGATTCTAGCTCAGTACCTGTTCACTGCCAGCCTGGCCAACTTTCTTATGTATGCCAATCACTGTGTGAACTTTTTTCTCTACGTTTTGACAGGTCAGAAATTCAGACAACAATTCTTGAATATTTTCAAGTGTCCGAAGAAATCCTGGCTACAATGTCTGCAAGCAAAGAAAGCTGAAAGCAGCGGTCATAAAAGAAATCTCAAAAGTTTGGGAAACAAGCAAATAAGAAAACAATCCATAGATTTCAATGAAAATGTAAAGTTCAATGAGAATCCTGATATTCTGAACTGCCACATACCTACCACAACTAAGAAACAGGTCAACAATAGTCAGAGAATATCAGCTAATCATGAGAATCAATATAATCAACATGTCTACGCTGTCAACACAAACTATGTGTGGAATATAACAACAAGAAAGTTTTCATCAGAAAAATAATTGTGAAACTGGAATATAAAATAACAGCAAAGTTTTAAATCTGACATCTCTTGCTCAAAACACTCAAGCAGGTGAAACATGGACAATTTAAAATTGAAGAAAAAAGAACAATAAGTTCACAAAAGTAGAACAATTATAAAAAGATATACTAAGAAAATGCCTATAGACATGTTAAGAGTCGAGCATCTAAGAAAAAAGTGTTGGGACGGTAATAATGATTTCAAATTCCACATTTTAACATAGAAGATTTTTTTCCTTAAAGCAGCGGGACTTGCTAGTCACACTCGCTATTGCCATGGACTATGATTCCCATGCACTTGTATAGCACAATATAACACTATAGCCTAAAAAAGATGGAAAAGTGGGCAACTAAATATTTACTGAGCTAATTACTTTTCACAATTTATGTAAACTCAGTTGAATAAATCAACAAATCATGCCTCTACTTTAAACACATGTTAATATATTAATATACTCCAGCCAGCTTAACTCTTTGAGTCCCAGAGGGTTTAGCATCACAGGCCTAAGGGGTAGTCAAGAGAGACGTAAAATCGGTGCATCATGCGTTCATTGGGCTTCTAGACAGTAACCTATGAACGTATGATGCGTTCCTTGGGACTCAAAGAGTTAATGTTCTGAAGTGTTGTGGTGTTATTGTTCAATACATGCTTAAAGTAAAGGACCCTTTTCCACGCCATAAGGTGTACTGGGCAAATAGGGCTAAACCTATATTTTATAGACCAATCGGCACTTGGTGGGCAATGTGGTCAGCACCACGGTCGCATTTACTCCCCAGGACTACACTGGTACCTACTCAAGGCTGAGTCAACCTGAGAGCCAATGTCCTTTTTTTTAAAAATCTCGCTCCATTAGGACCGGAACCCACAACCTTCTGATCCGTAGACAGCATCTAGCAGCTATAACACCGTATTTACGATGCATGCTTGATTGATCCGAAAATCTTAGCCTTGCAATGCTGTAAAAATAGTTGGTTACAAGTCATGCAGTTTATATTTGTAGGTTTTGGGCAGATAACAGACCTGGCATAATGTTTTGATGCGCTGTGGTTTAATTGTTTGGTGTGTGTGCTTGGTTGAGACCTATGATACCGTACAAACTGTTAGCGAAAAGTGCACAGTTGTGTGTTCCAGCAGATAGTAAACCAGGCTAGTGACTGACACCTGTCTGAGATGCCTAGTTGGCTATGCATCAAAGTATACTTGTTCCAGCAGATGTCTTTTGGCCAGAAGGGGGCAGGAGGAGGGGATTTTAATCTCGGTGTATCCCCAGCTTTGACTATTTCTGTTGTCTAGTATTTGTTTCCAAGCTTTTAAATATGTTGGGCATACGGGCATACAGTGCTCGTCCAATATTTTCGTAAAACAATCAGCATTCAGTGGGTGATTTGGTAAATAACATGCTGGTCACCTTTACTGCCTAAAACAATTTATCATACCCATTGCAGGCTGGGCCGATTTGACAGCCGAGCTTAAATCAATTACACAGTCAACCAGTCTGACCCAGCATCATAAAAAGGGAACCAGAAAATATTTTGTAAAGCTAAAGATAACTTAGATAGTGACCATCTAGAGTAGATTAGCTTAAAAATTTTTATCATATCCCTAATGTATCTCATGGAAATAGTTTCCTCTTGTCTCTATCCTTGATGATGTTGCAATCAATAATATTCTATTTAGTCAACATGATACATCAAATATTTTGGGGATATCTCCTTATTTTTCACACTGGGTTTGCTCAGTATACATTTTGCTCAAATAGCTACGTATAGCTTAAAGCAGGGCTTTTCAACTATGTTTACTCAGGGGCCAAATATTGAAAGGGGGGTCATCACGGGCCAGAGGCCCTAACCCAGCAAAGAAAGATCACTAATGCAATACAACTGAAAATGATCCGCATGCCATTTGCCTTTCGGCCAACATATCCAATTCATCAGGCATTTGTATACTGAGCTAGCCTTCCTGGTGACAGAAGTTTAATATACAGCAGATTAGTTTTTCCCAACTGGCACAACCCAAGACTCAACCCGCTATTATAGAATTGGGACAAAAAAAATTATCCGAATTTGTTTAAGTTTGAACAACAGACCAACATCATGGCACACGGGTAGTAACCCATAAGTGCTCCTTTCTTCTTCTAAAAAAAACAAATGATGAGTACTTATAATACTGTCATCACTGTTATTGAATGTACTCCAAGATTTTTTCCAGAGTTTAATACACATAAATAGAAACCGTGACTGAAGATGTTATTTTCTGGTCACTTGTGGCGGTGCTAACCTCATGAAAATAGCAAATTTGGGTAAGGTCAACAATTTTTAGAAAAGTGCTATCTTAAGGGCACAGTCAATCTGACTGTATTTTATCGATCAGGAATCTTTAGTACACATCTTTATACCTTATCAGAATGTAGAAATTAAAAAGTGTACAATTTAATTTTCTCTGCTCCACACTGCCATAAATGGATCAACATGCAACAAGTAAACACAGTTTTTTAAAAATCATACCTCCACTGGGCTCATGTGGTTTCTGTTCATATCATGTAGAATTGTCAGGAATTTCTTGAATCTCTCTGCATCGTCACCGAGCACTTGTTTGATGTGAGTGAAGTAATGCTGTGCATAAGCTGTGTCTCTTTCATCTTTCTGTTAGTTTGGAAATAGTCATTACATTACTTCTATGTCAAGCAATTACTCTTAAAATATAATTCAGATTTCTGAGGCTAAAGTAACAACTAAAACAATAATTTTAGTAATGACCATGTAAAGTTAAAAAACAAAAAACAAAGTAACCTTTCACGTGTGGCATAGTGGGTATATAAGTTGAAAAAAAAAAAGTAAACGTCCCTTTTTCCCGCCTTTAGGCGTATAGGGCTAGACCTATATTTTTGTAGATCTATCGGCACAAGATAAGTGATGTGGTCAACATCACGCCAGCGCCCTTTACTTCCCGGGACTGCACCTGGTACCCACTCAAGGCTGGGTCAACCTAGGAGTCACGGTAATTTTTTTTTTTTTAAAGTCCGGCTCCGCCAGGGTGCAAACTCACGACCTTCCAATCTAAACATGAGCGTGGGTATATGATGCTACACTCATTTTTTTGTAGACCAATAAGCAAATGATGGGTGATAGAGTAAACATCATGCCGACCATCTCTATTTCCCAGAATTTAGAATGTGTCAACTGGCAGCCAAAGGTTATTTTTACAGGAATCCCCGTGTGGGTTCTGGGGCCCCACTGTGGGGAAAAACAAGGACAGACCCACTGCCTCCCCAACATGCATGTCGTAAGAGTCGACTAATTGGGGGTTCCTTTGAAGTCAGAGTGCATCTGCCTAAGAGGTGAGGAACCAACAGTCTGCATACAAATAAATCAGACCTATGAAATGGATGTGCATGCAACATGGAGGTTCTGGAGCAAGACTTAAGTCCAGAGGTGGATGAACAACCAGAACTGTCCGCTGGAGTTTACAGTTGGCGAACGTGAAGACAAAGAAGCGGAAAAAGAAGAAGAAGAAGAAAAATAAGCAGGAAGAGGAGGAGAAGATTTCTGAATGAAAAAATCAGACTCCGTGCATGTTCGAATGCAAAACCTTTGGGCCAGCGAGCTTCTACTTGCACTACCATGACTCTACAGTAATGACTAGGGTGCAAGTTGAAAGGAAAGAATAAATGGAACAAGAAAAAAAATACTAATTTGAGGACAATATATTGTCATATCTAAGACAATTAATAATAAATGATTGCAGGTATCAGATAAATGCGAAAAACAACCGGGACAGCCAAAATTCTCAATTAAAATTACCAGTGTTACATTACTCTTCATTCCTGCATTCATTGTCCTGTTGCACCATTACATGTTACAAAGGGCTTTCAGTATATTTATCCATTCAGTTCTATCCTCTTTAATCACTCCATCACCAATGAAATCCATGGCTTCTCTCATCAATATTCATCTTAGGATTTCTATTTGACATCCCTGTTTCCTCAATCTCTGTTCCCCATTTCAATGTCAGATTATTCTCTGTTCATTTCTTCCAGGATGTGTCCAGTATAGCATCATCTTCTCTGTCTTTTAACTGATGATACCAGTGGCTGACCAGAATTGTCTCTTATTTCTTGGCTTCATCCCACTTTATGTTCATCATTTTCCTTAAGCGTGTTTTTGATTGAATTTAACTTACACTCCCTGTTTTAAGTGGTTCTCCAACTTCACTAACACATGTTTAAACTAAATGACATAAAAATGAAAATACATAATTTGGTTCTAAAACTAGACTCCCATATTTTGTTCAGGTTTTTACAAATAGAAAAAGATTTTTGCTGAAGTAAATTTTTTTCTTTAATGGCTAAAGATGGCATTATTGAATGAAATCAAAATTGAAATATTATTTTATCTGAGAACTTGATTAAAAGAAGTCTGTACAAGTATATATAAAGATGCAAGACGGACAATGCTAAATCTTCAACAACCCTATTGGCCCAGAAAGTTGCGAACCCCACATTTTCATTGTTGCCATGTCAATGTAAAGGCCAGGAGAGCATTATGTTTGTTGTGACCTGTTTCTGAGAAGAACAGGTTTGTGTCACTGCTTTTTTTTTTCCACGCTTGTACAGTGTTTAGGAGGTCCAATATAAATATATTCATTAAAATAGCATGGTGGGCAGTTGTAAAGCAAATGGCTTTTTTAACGCCCTGTTGACATCTTAATTTTGTGGCAAACTGACAACATTTACAGGGTTACTGCAGAAGTGATATATATACATATATCAGGCGACTTTTGCGGTAACCCTGTAAATATATATTTAAATTCTTCTTTTTTTAATGGCCCTGGAAAATGTATTCCATTCAATGCTTCATGCTGTTCATGTTTTTTCCTTTATATATCGGTAAATACAAGGGTAAGTCATTAAGTAAGTCACAAATGGTTATGCTATGGCAAGAAAATATAGTTGTTGTTTTCTAAAGGTGTCTTTAAGTGACAGCAACATCGAACTCTTATGTCTCCGCACGTTAGATTTCACTAGGCTTGCTTGCATGTTCGCAACATACACAAAAAACGTGACTCTATATACAGAGTGTACCCTCAAAGAACAATGTGCTGTTGTGTGCTTGAGGGGGGGTGTTTATACTGTGAAATGTTTATCCCGTAAAGCGGTGCATAGCTGGGTAAAAAAATCTTTCTCAAAGTTGCTATGCAGTTGGTGAAGTCTGATCTGGTCATCCTGTTGAGATTACAACAGACCCATCCGTGCAGCGGGTGGAGGAGATGATTAGAGGTGATATGTGACAGGGTGGGAACTTCTGGAACATCCATCTTACAGTCTCAACCTAGCCCCTAGCGATTTCCACCTTTTTTGGTCCACCGAAAACCCACCTTCGTGGAAGAGGTTTTGCGAAAGACTGTGAATGTGAAGTGAAAATGTAGTTTAGAAAACAGAGCATGCAGTTCTATGCAGCTGGTTTGGGAGGATTGATAAAACGATGAGATAAGTGCATCAATATTGGTGGAAATTATGTTGAAAAGGAAGGGGACAGTGTACGTGTAAAAATTAAACAGTTTTCCAGTTGTTATCGTCTTTATTTATTTTTTTCAAACGATCAATTGTGAATTACTTATTGGCTTCCCCTCATATTAAAAAAATGTATCTGAACAATGTAAAACTGAAACTGTAAACTCATTGTGTAAATAACAGTTTTAAGGGTTAAGAGGGAGGGGAGAATGAGTTTGTGGTCTATTTTCTTTAGGGTAGACTGGGTGAAAGGGTTAGTAATGCCAACCTCTGATGCAGATGACAATTAATGATAACAGTCACAGCCAAAACTTCCTATTTGATTACATGTCATCTTTAGCATTATTAAAAAATAAATATATATAAAAACTACCTTGGCGTCTCTGTCTATGATATCAGGTTCCAACATAGACAGGCAGACATCTTTTTTCTTCTGAGCTTTGCTCTTATTGTCATTGTCTGTGCCACTACTGCCTTTCTTAGGATCATATCTGGAAATGACAAAGTAAATTATGCATTTAACTCTTTTATCTGATATTAAACAGCAAAATGTTCAACTAAAATGTTGCCCCTGTTATTTGTGCAAATTTATTTTTCATTTTCAGTATACTAATTGTGCGTGTGTGTATGCGCACATACGTACATGCATGTGTGTATGCATGTGTGTGCAAATGTGTGGGTTTTGACAAAATCTTTGCTTGCGTCACTGTATGATATTTTTTTTGTTTTGTTAAATTTCCTAGTTATTTTGTTTGTTATTGTTTCACTGATCACATGACATCTCATGTGACAATTGTAGGGGAGGGGAGTGTTGTCATGAAAATGCCACGATGTCAAACTGTCCAGCATCTTCTTATTTTCCCTCTGCCTTTTTTCCCCTCCAATGATGTATTCCAGTTATGACATTCTCAAGACATGACCAAAGAATGTACATTGCCTTCTTATGTGCAATCAGTTCTCTTTGTAAGTAAATTTCTTTCAAGTCATTTTCGTCACTTTTTTAAAACTCTCCCAGGGTGTTCTCATCATTCATCTATAAAACTGCATCTCCAATGCTACCATATAATTTTTCACTAACTGGCCAGTGTCCATGATTCACTTCCATATATCAGGATAGGATTTATAGCTCTTGATAATTCTCTATCTCCCCTCAACTGCCACAGAAAGATTGCCTAGAATATTCTTCATTTTGTGAAATTCTGTCTTTGCTTGAGCTATTCTACATTTAACTTTTTTTTCCCCATTAAACCAATGGATTACAGGACTTAAATCAACACTCTCTATGCCCTTTGTAGACCAGTTTATGACTGTCCAGATTCTGTAGCTAAATATGTCTACAGAATAAAGTTGCCAGCCTCACGAAAATATTCATTAGTTTATTATTCTTAGGAAATTAATTGTAGACTAGAGCAGTGGTTCTTGACCTTCCTAATGCTGCAACCCTTTTATACAGCTCCTCCTGAAAGGTGTCGCCAGAATGATAAATTCCTGTTTCTTCTTTTGTGTTCAACCAAAAAATGAGGAGTTGGATGTTATGTTGTGGTTGACAGCAAGACTGCAATATCTGTGCCTTTCAGCACTCTTACTAAGTCACCCTTTTTACATGTTTGTTAAGGACAGCAGGTCTATTCCACCCCCCCCCCCCCTCTCCCCCAAAAAACTAGGGCCCAGGAACCCACATCAGTAAATAATAATTCAATCAAGAAGCCAAAATTTAAAAGAAAAAAGACGATTCTTTTATAATATCTTACTCCCAGATGGCGTCACAGGACAGTACAACATTTTAGAGGGTGGTAAGACTGGGTTTCCCAGCTTTCTGATGCTTTTAACAACCCCAAAACATCTAGAACTGGCCCTAACCCACCTACGTCCCACGAAAGAGTGTAGTTTAGGTCCCACAACTGCATGCAGCCTATCTACTACCCCCTGGAATATTAGGCTATCCTGTGACATGTGGATTTCCCCTATTTGGGGTAGGATATTAATAAAGCACTAAAAAGACAACAAACACTGACCCAATCGTTGTGCATGCAGCCATTAGATCATCAAGCTGTGACTGATCATCACTTTCAAAACCCTCTTCTTCTTCTTCCTGGGATAACACTGCATCATCTGTCTCCATCGCTGCAGGTTCTACAATGGCCTTCTCTTTGCCTGGCTGTGGATCTTTCACAAAAGGCGCAGCAGTTTCTTGGGAGCTCTTCTTTCCTGTTTCAAAACATTATCAATAATTTCTTTAAATGCTCATTCATTTTACTGCATCAGTGTTTAAGATATTGCAGAGGAAATATGGATATACAGAAAAATAGGTCGTATTTTTTAGAAACAAAAACAATCTATATAAGTGACTCCCTGAATATGAAAGTACACTAGGCAGGAGAGCTGGCGAGAGACCGAGTTTCTTTCATGCAGACCAAGGTGAGAGTGACGTTCTGCAAGCACCTGCTATATGATGATGATCAACAATCAAATACAGAGGTTCTGGATAAACTGCGAATAAAAAGAGGTACAGAAAGAAATGAAGAGACAAAGAAAAATGTTGGCTACGTTAAAAGACATAACACTCTTTTTTTAAACCATACTGGAGGGAAAAGTTAAAGGCAAAACAGCAAGGTAAACAATAATACAAGTGAGAAAGACAACATGAAGAGATGGGCAAACAACAGTCAAGACAAGAGACAGAGAGCCTTGAAGATCTAATGCGGCAAACCACTGTGGAGACAGTAGCTGACTAATTGAGAGGAATGTGAAAGCAGGCAGACAAACAGGAGATTGACAACAATATAAGCAGGGAGATAAAAGTAACAGATGAACAAACAGCAGCACAGCTGAGCAGTGAAGGAAATCACCACCAAGGAAAAATGCTGCTTCACATATGTATCCAGAGACAATTCAAAACAAACTGCTCTCTTTATGGAAGAACCATCTAACCAAGACCCTGAACAAAGAAAACACAGCATGTGCTCTGAAACCATTCTGAGAAGTAATCACCTGGTGTGTGTGTTTTTACATTTCCCTATGGAGGTAAACTTGATTCACTTATGATTTTTTGTTTGTTATCTAACAAAATTATAATTTCTCTTCTGAATTTTTACTTAGTACATGCTATTAATCTTCTTTTTCTTCTTCTTCATTTGCCCTTAAAACAGGTAGGTGGGTGGGTGGTTGGTTGGTTGTGTTGTGATTTACAGTTAAGCTGCGATATCTGTAAATTTTGGTTAAAAACATCTGGTTTAAGTAAATCTTTAGTTGGTCCCCTTTTATGACATGCTTATAAAGTAGCAATGGGTCTAGAACCAGGACCGCTATGGGTAACATGCTATTCAATAAACAGTACTTTCTCTTCTCAATTATTTAGAAGGTTTAAGATTATATTTAATAACTAATACTTTTTTCCTAAATATTTTAGCAAATTTAAGGTTTTACATACAATTCACAAATATATTTTTTGCCTGTTTAAATGTTTACATTTTTACCAGCTCTAACAATTGAAAAAACAAAAAACTTTCTTTTCTGATGTTTTCAGTGTTAATTGTTTATTTTAAAGATCATCTTCATCGCACATCAGACATGACCATAAGTGCTCCGATCTCCTCCTGAGTATGTCTGCAAGTATTTTTAGGCCAACAGCCCCTATTTTGTTCAGGCTGAAGTAACGATGGGTGGCTCCTGCATGTTTTTCATGTCTCACAGCTCCAACTGGTACACCTAGCTTATGCAGCCAGAACTTTCCACCAGAGTTTACTGCCGGTGAAGGCAAAGATTAAGAATACTCCATATTCTAAATACTTCAGAATGTAATGCATTCAGTCCCAAGTAAGGTGAGATTAGGAATTGACTTTTTATCTTGAATCCTAACCCTAGTTTAATGTGATTTAGTGGCTTGTTTTTTTTAACATCTGATCAGATCATGCTAAAGAAATCTGGCTTCTTCCAGAACACCACCACTGTTTTTCTAGTCTTTCTAACAGTAATGCACTTGAGATGTTTCACAGTGGTTGCTGTGACACCTTCTAGAGCTAAAATAGTTGCAGTTCATCAACTAAAATTATTTATAAAACTGCAAATGATAGAAAAATAACTGTGCCTTTAACACAGATGTGTATTAACAAGATGGAGAGTTCTTTAAAAGAAAACTAAAAGTGGCACTGTATTATCAAGGAGGCGACTGCAGTACATGTAAAAAAAAAAAAAAACATTTCCATTTCACTGTTTTCTTACTGCTTACAAAATAAAAGAAAAATTGAAAGTGCATGTCAGTCTTACAATAGGACATTGCAGCGGAACGTTTCCAGAACATAATTACAATACAATAGAGGATACTGTGGTGAACGAAACAAATGGTTTGGCCATCCAGTGAGAAGGCAGCCAGACCATGTGAACAAATTACAGAGTTGGCTCTGTGGCTAAGTCAATGTGAACACTTCGTAATGCTGGGATGCCGGGTTCGATCCCAGCTGCGGGCCATGGGCCTTGCGTTGGTTTCGACAGTGGTATCAAGAAAGCTGACCGTCCAGAAAGCAATGGCAAACTACTGGACGTAAATTTGCCTAGAAAAACCACACAACAGCTAGGGGCTGTTGGGGTTGGTCCTGCAATGTCCTGTAAAGTGTACGCAACTAACCTTATACATTACAGAACAGTTAAGTTTATAACATAAATTTATACCTGTGTTTTTCCCTTTGCTTTTCTGGGATCTGGTGAACATTCTGGTCGGAGTCAGTAGTGGTTTAGATCCAGACAATGCTGTCTGTGGTGGTTTCGGCAACAATTTCACTGGACTTCTGCTCTGACAAAAAAGTGTAGCTTTCTTCTTGAGCATCTGAGCTGCAGTTTTCGTTGGAGATGGGGACTTCATTTCGAATACAAAAGATTTGGGTAAAATCTGGCGTACGTGCTTGTTCAACTCTTTACGCCTGGGGCTCGTCTTTGGTAGGGGGATATACGGTGATGAAACGGATGCAGCAGAAAAGGGTGTTTTGGGTAAAAGAGGATGAAGCTTGGTTGGTGTTTTAAAAGGTGATGGAAACTTGAAGTTTCTGACTGAATGAGATTTGACTGGTGACTGCAGGTTAATCAAAGCAACTGGAGTAGGTGTTGTGACACTACAGCATTGAGATAGGGGTGATGTGTTTTCTTGCTGTACACATGTAGAAGATTCACCGCTGTTACTTATGATGGTTACATCTTGTGTTGGTTGATTAGCCTTGGTATTCTGACTACTCGAATGAGGAAGTGTGACTGGTGACTGCAGGTTAATGAAATTAATGGAAGGAGTAGGTGTTGTGATACTACAGCATTGAGATAGGGGTGATGTGTTTTCTTGCTGTACACATTTAGAAGATTCACTGCTGACATTTGTGGCGGTCACACCTTTCACTGGTTGATTAACTTTGGTATTCTCACTGGTTCTGATGGCAGAGTCAGTATTTTTATTCACAATGTCTGAAATAACAGAGTCACCATCTGGCGTTAAAACTGAAGTGTTGGTAGCTGTACAGAGTTTCCCTTTCTCTGCTGCCTCCAGTATTTGTCTGATAGTTTTGGGTTTCCTCTGTGCTTGCTGCAGTTCACTGGTATTTGACTTCCGTTCAATGCTGTCTGCCTTGTTTGAGTCAGCGCTGTCTGATATGCTGCCTGAAGCACAAATGAGTGTTTTGTCACTGCTGGATGATGAATCATCTGTTAATACTGGCAAAATTATATTTTCAGTTAACGTGGAGTCTGATTCAGTGACATTATTGAAGGCTTCATTATCATCTTTTGCTGTCAGATTAATATCAGACTGGACTGCTCTGTCATCCTGTAGAACTTCACGGGTTTCTGCAGCATTTTGTAAGGAATTTTTATCATTCTGGGGAGAGAGATCAATACCAGACTCAGCTGACTGACCACCATTGACAGTTTCACAAGTTCTGTTATCATTTTGGACAGAACAGTCTGAAGCTAGTTCACTATCCACTAGAGCCTCACGTTCTGTCTGTGACTGGAAAGTATTATCCACCATTAAACGACTTTGAGATGACAAGTCATTGAACTTGTCCTCTATGGGAAGCTCAAGCTCCTGACTGCCTTTTTTGTCCCCAACAGCTAGTGCCTGCTTCTTTATTTCCACGTTCACCATGTCAGAGGCTAGAGGTAAATCAGAAGAGAATATGCTTTGTGAAGTTCTATCAGTACCACCATGAAAGTTATTTCTTGTAGAAGCTGTCGGGCATTTTGAAATATCACAAAGCTGGTCCTGATTTGACACTGATGATGAATCTGAATTAGGCAGGGTATTTGTTTGTGAAGCTTTACCGATTCTTGCTTCTTCTTTTTGATGTTCTCCATGTCTATGAGGCTCACTGTGATGTACAGAAGATGCTAAACATGATCTGGGTTCAGAAATTACTGTTGTTTCAGAAGAGAACAGGCTTTGTGAAGTTCCATCAATACCACCATGAAAGTCATTCCTCATTGAAGCTGCCGGGTGTTCTGATATATCACACAGCATATCCTGATTTGATACTGATGACGAATCCGAATAAGGTAGGGGATTTGTTTCCAAAGTTTTACTGATGCTAGCTTCTTCTTTCTGAAGTTCTTCAAGCGTTGCTTCTTCTTTCTGAAAGTCTTCATGTGTTTGAGGCTCACTGTGATGTACAGGAGATGCTAAACATGATCTGGGTTCAGAGATTACTGTTGATTCAGAAGAGAATAGGCTTTGTGAAGTTCCATCAATACCACCATGAAAGTCATTTCTCATAGAAGCTGCCGGTTGTTTTGATATATCACCCAGCGGATCATGATTGGATACTGATAAAGAATCTGAATAAAGTAGGGTACTTTTGTGTGCAGCTTTACTGATTCTTGCTTCATTTGTCTGAAGTTCTCCATGTCTATGAGGCTCATTGTGATGTACAGGAGATGATAGGCATGATCTGGCTTCAGAGGTTACTGTTGTTTCCCTTTGCAAGACCACATGCTGACCAGCTGAATCTTCTCTGTGTGGGGATTTCGACTGAGCACTGTACGCTTTTTCAATATTCTGCGTTTCAGTAACTGGTATGCTAGGTAGTGACTGTCTGTGAGCCTCATCAAATTCCCTCTGCGAGACCATATGTTGGTCAGCTGAATCTTCTCTGCATGGGAATTTTGACTGAGCACTGTACGCTTGTTCAGTATTCTGCGTTTCAGTAATTGGTATGCTAGGTAGTGACTGTCTGTGAGCCTCGTCAAATTCCCAGGCGAGGTTTCTCACTGTTGGATGTCTGTCTTGAGCAACTGGAGTAGATGAAGCATAAGACATATTCAGCTGATCGTGATCATGACTGTATTGTAACTGACTCTGTGGCGAAGGACAGACCTGACATTCCTGTATTCCACAGGACAACATAGTTTTAGTAAGGAGATCTGGAGAAGCATTTTGAAGTGACTGAATACTGCTAGTATTACAAGCAGCCACCTCATCCACAAAGGGCTCCTGGATTCTCTGCTTCTTAGCCCCTGAGGTATTAGATGATACGATTTGTTTTCTTTTAGCACTCTTCTGATTGCGTGAACCAGTAACCTTGGATTTTGGTTCTTGTACTGCAGACATACATGGTAGTAATGATGGGAATGACACAGCAGGTGAACTCTGTGCTCCTGCACCAACTCCCTCTGAAAACTGGAGGAAAATGCCAGTGATTCGAGGTAACCCAGCAAGCAGTGACAAAGACGGGATAGTCTGGACTGTGACTGGCTGTGTCGCTGGAGCGATACAGACAGGTGTCTGGCACTGAAATGGTGTAGTCTGCTGTGTGGAACATGGCTTTTTAGGTTGCAATGCTGGGATTGTCTGGAAGGTGACTGGGTGTGTCGCTGCAGAGGTACTGACAGGTGTTTGGCACTGAAATTGTGTAGTCTGCTGTGTGGAACATGGCCTCTCAGGTGGAACACAGGTGCTAAAAACCACAAAAACAAAATATTCAGATACAAAATTTAACTATTGGTGCAAAGTTATAATAATTAGCCATTGATATCAGAGATGAGCAATTGTATCACAGTTAAAATACAGATATTTAAACAAATAACTTGGATGTGATTCACCCTTTCATGTGGAATTCTGAGTGCTAGACAATAATAGTAGAAACAAAAAAGTACTTTTATATCACATCTACTACTGTTAACACTGATCTGAAACTGAAATAATTGGCCATTGAGACAAGAGGCAGCAATAAACACTACAGTTAAAGTGCCCCTCCCCCCCCCCCCCCTCAAAAAGGGGGGGGGGGAGTGTTATTACAAGTAACATACTTCTTCTGTGTTTAAAATATAATAACAGACAATGGCAGAATTAAAACTGAAATTTAACACACACACAAAATTACATCAATATCTTAAAAGATAAAAAATTAAATATTGGAACTATTAAATGCTATGCACATTCAGTAATCCTAAAAACAGAATTTGGACAATAAACAAATAATCTGACATTTGAAGCCTTGATACCATAATCAGGCTGTAAGTAAAGGATCCATTTCACACCATCAGCAGATCACGCACAGTCGATATTTCGTAAAGACTAATCAGAACTGCATCTCTCATCTTACAATACCCAACAGCATGTATCTTTATCTTGTTTGTGTTCACCAGCTGTAAACTCTGGCGGAAAGTTCCTGTTGTTCATCCACCCCTGGACTTAAGACTTCTTTCAGAACCTGTGTTTTGCATGCATATCTGTTTTACAGATCTGACTTATCTGTATGCAGACTGTTGGTTCTTTGCCTCTCAGGCAGATGCGCTCCGACTTTGAAGAAAACCCCCCCTAATTAGTCCACTATTATGACATGCTTGCTGGGGAGGCAGTGGGTCTATTCTTGTTTTCCCCACAATGGGGACCCCAGAACCCACACAGGGAACAACATGTATCAATCAGTGTGTTGATATTTTTCTTCTGTGACATGAAAACATATTTCAAGAATCTTCTATTTCTTATTCCATAAATCTTTCCAGCTGTCACATTTCCTTCTCCTAAATAAAGGCCCCATCTCAATAGTTCATCATAACAACTTATAATGCTGGACTCTTTAGTAAACCCACTGGTACTAAGGTCAGCATTTGTGGCTTAGGTGCTGCGAAAGCCCTTTGCAATGCCGGGGTGCTGAGTTCGATCCAAATTTGCAGCAGACCGTTTTGCGTTGGTTTCAACAGTAGTACTGAGTGCTGACCATTCAGGGAGCAATGGCAAACTACTAAAGATGAATTTGCTGACCTCTGCCCTCCGCTAGTCTCTGTCATATGTAATGAACATCGTAACAATCCAAATTATGACAACCATGACTAAATTGAATGCCCTTGGCTTACAGCCTAAAATAGATACCAGCTAAAGTCCTGGGAAGTAAAGACTGATGATGTGATGTTGATGACATCACCCACTGAGTGCCGATTGGACTATAAAAACATAGCCTTGCTTCATATGCCCAATGTGCCATGGGCATGAAAAGAGTCCTTTATTTTCTTTCTTAATTTTTTTTTAATTTTACAACTGAAATGATAGTTTATAGAAAAAATAATAAAGATACAACGTATTAACAAGGTTTAACCTCAAGTCACTCATTTCTGGGTCTTTCTGCTGTGATGGCTGACCAATGAATTTAGGCAGTAACAGTTTCATTTTAGCCGCATGCTGCGTTCTACGTAGTAATGGGTGGTTCTGCAAACAATGTAAATAAAAACAACAAACAAATAAGCACTGGATATGCAGAAAAACATGTCTTCTAAAATCTATTGTAACGTTTAAAAAAATAATTTATGTTGGAAGGTTAATTACCAACTGTCCTATATAGCACTGAAACCTGGACCACAATGTCATCACCTGCTAAAATTAAATGTGCTATCTAGTTAAAACAGCTCATAATACCAAGATCACAATATATAAAACAATGATTGCACAAAATGTGCTAAGTGGTTCTAAAACCTGTACACCTAAAAGAGATAAAAACTTATTACCAACTCTTGAGAACAGTCTAACCATTAATCTCTGGGTCCATCAAAAGTGCAAACAGTAGAGAATGGAGAGTGAGAAGCAACAAGATTTATAATATTTGAAATCACCATTAATTACTGGCAGAATGAGGGATAACAGACTGCAATGGCCGGGGCATGTAGAAAGAAAGGCAGATAAGAGAGTGATTGAGAACTGCGTACAGAAAAGAGGTGAATAAGAGTAAATAGCAAAGCAGACCAAGAGGACTGTGAAGAGATAATATAAAGGTGGACCTACAATCACAGAGATAAATGGAGGCAGATTTTATCAGCTGCTATAAACATGGGCTCAGAAGAAGGAGGCGGAGGAGCAGAACGAGGAAGAGGAGGAGCAGAAGCAAATGGAGGAGGAGAAGAAGAAGAAGAGAAGGTGGCGGAGGAGGAAGAAGAAGAAGATTAATGTAAATCTTGACAGACTGCAGACACTTTTGCAATTGTATAATATTAAAAGATATAATACTTACCGAGCACCAGGAAGGAAGAAGATCTGGCAGCTGATATTTTGGGGCCATTGTGTAGAAATAATCAGTTGATGGTTTGGGAAAAGATTCTGGAAGTTTCCCAGTCTTTCTTACTGACTAAAAAGAAGAGCATAATGTAAGCATGATATCTAACACCATACTGAAATATACCGTATTTTTCTATGTATAAGTCAACCCCCCCCCCCCCCAACTAAATTTTTTTAGATTTAAAACTGGAGGTCGTATTATTCATGGAATATTAAATTAAAGATAATAAATGGATACATGCCTCTATCTTTATTCTTTCCCAGCAGCCTCCCTCTCACTATTGGCCTCGAGACAAACACTGGTCTGGTACTCTTTCCTTCCCCGAACAGCCCCCAGTCCGGTTCACCCCCTAGCTACCCAGATCCCCTAGCGACCCAGATGATCTAGCTACCCAGATCATCTAGCTACCCAGATCCCCTAGCTACCCAGTCCCTTGTTCCCCAAGTGCACTCATTCAAGCAGATCTGACAGTTGCAGCTCCTAGGTCGGTGTTGGACACTGCCAGCACTGGTGAAGTAAATATGGTTCATACTGTGAATGTTCAGACAAAAGTGCACCACACAGGCATGAGAGCTGGGGGCTGCTGCTACAGTGGAGTTAGGTATAATGAACTGACACAGAAGCAGTGACTCTAGGCTGTAATGTCTGAATGACAAGCGCTGGCTTTTCTCCTATCTATGAGGCTGAAACAGGGATCAAAGGGAATAATGATGTAATATCCCAGCAATCTCTTGCACTGCTGTATTGTGAGTACTGTCCTTTCTTGCCATACAATGTGGCACATTACCGTAATTTCACAGAGTACTGCATTAACAGCTTTTTAGCACTGGCACATACACATTTCAGAATAATTATTTTTTTAATTGTCTTAATCTGCAAAACATGGAAATAAAGCCTCTGAGCAAGTTTAGACCCCCTCCCACTAAATGCATAATCAGACAGAGGAGGAAACAGGAAGAATCTCTAAAAAAAACACCAAGAATCTCTAAACAAAACACCAAAACATAAGAGGGCCTTTTAAGAAGAAAAACCATAAAAATTGCCAAACTTAGAGCAGGGGCTTTAGAGACTGATTACAGAGAAACATCAAAATGAGATAAATGCATCTACCAAGATATAATAAGATAAGGAAAAAAGGTCTGCAATAAAAATTAACATTGCTGACTTCACAGGAAAGGAAAAATGGTGTTTCAGCTTCATGGGAGAGAAGGCCTGGCTTTGAGAACACAAACCAAGCGCTGTTGAAATATACAGGACTAAATTTACACTTCGTGGGTTCGGGTCCTGGCCAAGTCGGACTTTTGTCAAAATGACCTTGGCTCCCAGGTTGACCCAGCCTTAAATGAGTGCCATGTACAATCCTTGAAAGTAAAGGTGGCCGGAGTTATGTTGACCCCCACATCAACCATCAAGTGCTGTTTTGTCTTTACAATATAGGTCCATCCCTATATGCCCAAATCTGACTGAAGTCGTGGAATTGGGTCGTTTACTTTACTTATAATTAAATATACTGTGGTTAAAATATTTAATAAAATAACAGTTTTTCTGTTTTCCAATTCCGATCCCTTTTAAGAAAACAATTAAAAGGTCGATCACTTTCAGAGTGCTCCTAGCTAGCCGAGGCTGCTAATAGTCTCCGCCTATATTTGTGGTCTGGAGACCGCTCGTCCTCCACCCTGTTGTTAGCTGTGCATGTCTTTCCTCTTCTTACTTGGTGTTTTTCTGTTTGGTGTTTAAAGTATTTATTTCCTAATTTTTTCCAGCTAAAATAATAGGTCATCTTATACATAGGGGCGTCTTAGTATTGGTACATAAGTGCTGTGCATTCATTTTCTTCCACCTTCACAGTATGCTTTTCCTATGCACATTAAGTTTCTTTCATAAGGAAATGACAGTATACATATTATAACTCAGCTGCACAGCTACAGTGTGTAACTCCCTTCCACCATTACAAAAGTTAGTTGTGTACCCTCTAAGGCCTTTTTAGAACCAATCTCAGCATTTCTGGCTGTTTGGGGTTTTACTAGGCAATTTTACATTCAATACTTTTGCCACTGCTTTCTAACAGTCGGTACTTTATATAACTGTTGACATCAACAGAAAAGCAGTCTGCCAAATCATCTGCAGCTAAACTGAAATAGTTATTTTAGAACTATGAAGCACATCCAATAGCCTAAGTCGCTGAAGGAACTGTTATTACATAATCGTATTAAATGTTATGTTTCAATCATTAATAGCATAAACAATTTTTTTAATGACATAGATGTCTGTATAAAAGACACAGACTCAAGGCAATAATGACACAGATGCCTAAATGTATAAATGACACAGATGCCTAACTGTATAAATGACACAGATGCCTAATTGTATAAATGACACAGATGCCTAATTGTATAAATGACATAGATGTCTAACAGTATAAATGACACTGATGCCTAATTGTATAAAGGACACAGATGCCTAATTGTATAAATGACACAGATGTTTAACTGTATAAATGACACTAATGCCTAATTGTATAAATGACACAGATGCCTAACTGTATAAATGACACTGATGCCTAATTGTATAAATGACACAGATGCCTAATTGTATAAATGACACAGATGCCTAATTGTATAAATGACACAGATGCCTCACTGACACAGATACAAGAGACAACATTCCTACCCTGATAGCATTGTCACCCATTTTTCTTGAACAATTGAAATGAATACGATTGTGAATGGCCTTCAAGCTCTTCCCACGTATCAGCAGCTGATGAAGCAACTCACTGGACCTGAGATCTTTACACTTCTGGAACTGCTCCATGCCGACGGCTATTAACCTGTTGAGGAGATATGATTTGATACTGCTTCAACTCAGTATGAGACAGATGGACATAGACAAGTGGGAGGTTGGGGGAATGAAAAGCAGAACAAAGTAGGAGAAATGAAGACATAAAGAAAAAAAGAGTGTGACCAAAAGAAAAGAAAGGGTTCTGTCGTAAGGATACGAGGAGGTTATAAGAGGGGTCAGGTATGAAGAGACAGAGAGAGCAAGGTAGATGGAAAGTATAATGATAAAAGGAGGGAAGAGAGAAACAATACATATAAACAAAGGCAAGGAAAGGCTGGAACAAAGGGAAAAGAGACAGATTCTGAAAGAGAACCAACTGCACATGTGTAGTGAAATGTGAAAACAAAAGTAGATATTAATAACCAAGCAACATTTGGCTGAGAGATACGATCATGTATGCATCATCATCATGTAGCAGGTCCTTTGCAGAACGTCGCTCTCATCACAGTCTGCCTGAAAGAAACTCTGTCTCTCTCCAGTTCTCCCGCCTCATGTACTTTCATACTCAAGGTGCCACTTATATCCTGTGCCCATCTTGGTACCATGCCTTCTGCTATAATTTGTTCCAATCCTTCGTGGGGCTTGAATTGACCAGAATATTTCAGCTTCCAAGACAGAATGCTGTTTATTAGCCAATCTTCCTTGATGTTCGGATCTTTCAAGATGTCAGTATTTCTGCTCTTCTTTGTCCAAGATATTCTGAGAATCTTTCTATTGCATTTCAGCTCAAAAGCCCCTATTCTCTTTTTTAAGGACTGAGAGATAGTCCACGACTCACATCCGTATGTAGCCACAGGGAAGATGCATGCTCTCAAAATTCTAATTCTAATTCATATATGTATTTTTGATGTATTTACTATACATGCTTTTGTGTATTTTACTTAATATTTATATTATATATATTGTTACATGAACATAACATGCTTTACAGATCAAATCCAATTGCCTTATAAAAGATGTTTAGAAAGGCTGAATGCAAGATGAAACACTATGCACAGTTTGTGAAACCCTCTGACAATAGAGTTTGTTTATTCATTCTTGCACCTGTAAAATTTTTGTATTACATAAAAGCAAGTGTTTTTAATCCTGTCGTCCAGGGAAGACCCGTATTTGATTTTTCTGTCATTTTCGCGCCCCTATAAAAGTCCAGAAACCAGACTGTCCTCACATTGTTCCCTGAATCGTCCCTGGATCGTCAATTGGATTGCAGCAGTCTGACTTTCACCTGGGGTCGTGGTGCTCTGAACCATATAGTACTGCATCTGATCTCACAGCGACAATACAGGCAGTGGGTATAGAGAGGATTGTGACTTTTGCTGATGATGTTTTAGTCTACAGAGAGGAAAGAAATGAAACAAAAATATCTAGAGACTACAGACTGTGGCTGACAAGGTCGGTGAGTGGTGTGAAAAAACTGATTCTATCATTAACCCAGATAAGGCAGCAGTGCTCTTTAAATAAAACAAATGTTAAGAGATGAGATGCCGAACATCACAATAAATGGTATAGTAACTTCTTCTTCTTCTGCCCTTTAAGCCCCCAATGGAGCATAGGTCCTGAAAAAACTCACGCCAAGTTGTTCTATCTTTTGCTATCGCATGCAGCTCTCCCCATGTCCTCCCCATCTTTCTAACTTCATTCTCAAGCTCCCTTCCCCATGTGTTTTTCAGCCTTCCTTTATTCCTATGCCCCTGTGGGTTCTAGTTATATTGTTCTCTGGTTTTCTCAATGTATGTCCTATCCAATGCCAGCTCTTTTTTTTTCACCTATTGGTTCAATGGAGCTTGCTTAGTTCTCTCCCTAGTAACATAAAGAGATAATTCACTAAAATACCTAGGAATAACTTTTGACAGGAGCCTGCTTTTTAACTACCATGTGGAAGAGGTAGATTCAAAGATAAGGAAAGGACTTTGTGCCTTGATGGTGATGGCATCAGCAGACATGGAACAGAGAATGCTTTATACACTCAATCATCAACTAATTATTTCAGTAGCAGAGTATCCTAATGCTATCTTACACCAAAACAGAGAAGCTGGAATACATGCAAAATGAAGCCATGGAAATAATTTTGGGATGTAAATGGGACACGCCAAGTGTGTTTGCAGCACATACTTCTATTGCCATGTGTATATGAAATATACAAGGTGTTACAGGTTAAAACTACACCAATATATACACAGATGGGTCTGTAGTGAGAAGTAAAGTGGATTGGGGTTTTATTGCAAAGGCGAATGGACACTGTTTGAAAACAGAGAGCTGTGCGTATAACGTCACAACATCCAGTATGAAAAAGGAGGTGGAGGCAGTAATGGCAGCTTTCCAATGATTGGAGAGCAGCATAGCTTGACATGTTGTAATTGTAACCACCTCAAAGAGCATGCTTCGAAAAACTGGGAGTGGTGTCCTACGAGCGGCTAGCATCAGTTGATGAAACTCGAATCAGGAGCATGTCATGGATATTTTGTCCAGGAAATTCGGGTGTGTGGGGTAATGAGCAGGCTGATAAGCTGGCTGCTGCCACTCCTCTGGCTGGTGAGCTACTTTATGATAAAGAGGACGTGGTGAAGGCTCTCTGGAATCAAATGGACAGTCCAACAGAACAGACAGTGAATACATATGCTGAAAGACTAATTCAAAGGGGGTGAGGTTGGGTCTGAAAGGTATTCAACACTGAGGGAGAAACATAGACTTTGAATCAGTCTGCAACTGATACTATTAGCATGTCAACTCTTTATTTGCTAATGAGGAAGGAGACGGAGCATGTGTGGGAATGTCCTAAGTGCAGTGATGTCAATTCTCAATTCATTTATTCATTTCGAGAAGCATAGTTTAATGTTATTGGTTCTTTTCATGTCTCAGTAGCGTTTATGTCAAAGTGGGAAAATATTTACTAAAAATTGCATTCCTGTGGGGAGTAGGCTCTCGTGAACTGTCACATGATGGTAAAAGAAGACCTCTATTTATCTTCATTTAAATGTATGCCATGTAGTTATGTCACCCCCCCCCCCCCCAATCCCCATTGGTTTCACCACACACACACAAGCACATACAGTTAGGGTATCTGCAAAAGGCAGTAAATAACTACTATCATCTACACTGCATTTTCATAATTTATTTTTAACTATTCTGGGTCTGTACTATGTAAACCCCAATTAGTTCTCATTTAGCACAGAAAATTCACATAAATAATCCTGGTGCTGTATTTTAAATATACAGTATTTGTCTGCTTTTTTTTTAAAGTCTTCCATCATCTCGGAAGGCTGAGATAAAACGTATATGGGGTCAGCACCCCAAACCAGGATCATGAGCTGAATCTCAAGATGTGCTCAGACTGATACTGGACCCTGGCCCAGCCATTCTGAGAACAGTGTGAAGGTTACTGTCTCCATACACTACATCCAAATGTATTTATCGATGTACATTAAGTGCCAGTTGACTTACATTGGTTGAATTTAAAGGCAACTACAAAATAGAGTGGCAGAACATGTACCCCAATGGTTACATGCACAGTTGAAGAATTCCAAAGCAATTCAAGATGAATCAAGAGGAAAGAAATCAACTTTTCTACAAGACATCATTTGCTTGATTCTGGACACGTAATTGATAAAGTCAGAGCTTTCCGTATGATTTACCAGACATCAAACATGTGAATGCTGAGTCAGATGGAAGCTCTAATAATAAAAATGAGTAATCCACTCTTATGTAAGCAGAGGCAACAATTAACTCTGAATATTTACTGAGTTACATATTTTTAAAGTTCGGTAGAACTTCTGGAACACACTACAGAAACATCTATCCACGGAATGTTCTGGAAATCCTTAAAGGATATAATACAATGGATCCCGCCACATTGCAACATACCTGAGAATGAGAAGGTTGATGAATCGGTAAAGATGGAAGACTACCTCAGCCCCATCTAGACATAACGAGGCAAAGAGGGCTGTAAGGTGCATTTATAAAACCAAGTAGGAATCGGTGCATTCAGATACCACAGAACAGTTATAACCATCAAACTCTACACCTGATATAACAGGTTTAAATACACCTTGTTCAATAAATACAGACAGAAGACACTGATGAATTTAACAGTGGGAGGGGTAAAATGCTGCAATGGTGTCCAAAATATAGAAAGCAGAGATAACAATTGACCTACAATCGTTCCATGGAGGACAAACTGTGCAGAGGTCAACAGTCTCAAGCTGAATGTTGTTTTCTTTATATTACAATTTTAGCAGTAATTGTATCAGACTCCGTGAACATGCTTCAGAAGTAGCAACAGGCGGTATGTGCTCTGAAGGATAGAAAGCATTCAAAAATCTCACTTTCCTCAACTGGATCTATACAGCTAGTCATGCGGGCGTAAAGGGTAATGAGCGAGCGGACCAACTGGCAAGCAATGCACCAACACATGTGGGAAGAAGCATGGACAGATCAGATTTCATCAACACTGTACGGACTGCACTAGTGGATAATGAGGAATCTCTGAAACCAACACGAATGCATGACATGGGAGTAAAGCATGATGAAGCACGTCTATGTCGCCTTTGAGGCCGAGATAGGAGACATTATAACCAACTTGTCATGGGAACAATTAGCAGAAATATTTTGGAATGACTGCTGTAGCAGAGGGCTGAGCCTGCATGGGAATGCCCAATGTGCAGTGACGTTAATTGTGATAACATAACATTACATTTTATTAATGCTAATGTATAACTGTGTTTGAAGAATGAGGTATCTATTAATCATATATTTTATTTACTGTACACTTACTTGTCTTCACTAGGGAAAAATTTTTTGTATTTCCTCTCATTCTTTTGGGGTCTGTTCAGACGTGGGAGTAAGTGAGGGTAGACAAAAGCCGGGCTGTTGAGGACTGTCAACTTTTGGGTTGGTGACAATCTGCAGACAGGTTCTGTAAAGCAGTTCAAACATGTGAAAGAGTGATGAAGGTGTAATGAAAAGAAACATTACATGACTGAAAACAAATCTGTTTTAAAAATGATAAAATGATCAATCAAGTACACATTAACTGCATAAGTATGCGATTAAGTGTCATTAAAAACATATGCAGCACTAAAACAAACAACAGAAAACATACTTTTGGTGAAACGCAATCGGGGAGCTGGAAATGCAGCAAGCAAATGGGTTTAGCAACTTGAAGATGCTGATAAGGATTATAAAGAGTCGTGGTAGCCTATTCTAGATTACAAGCACTGAAGACTTCTGCGCTGCGTTTACTGGCTGTTAACTTCAGCGGAAAGTCCTGGTTGTTCACCCACTTCTGAACTTGGCCTCTTTTTCCAGGGCTTCAGTTTTTGCATGCACATCCGTTACACAGACCTGACTTATTTGTGTATATGTTGTTGGTTACTCACCATTCAGGTAGATGCACTCCAACTTCAAAGTAAACATCAATCATATCTATAATGGTCAGACTCCTAATTTGGGTACCTGTTTAAAAGATGACTACAGAGAGGTGTAGATAGGTTTGACCCATATAGGCTCTGGTCCTGGTGCAGCAAGTGTGGTTCAACACCTCTGCCTCCCTAAAGACTTAGTCTTTGCCGAGGTTTTATCTTCACTGCAATCAGGTCATCCCATGCTCCCTTCCTGTACCAGTGAGAGCCAAATGAAATGCCCCTCACTGTCCCATTTGAACAAAATGGTGAACAAACAATTATTCTGGGCACAATCCAGAAATATGAGTGTGCAGTAAATACACAAGGCAGATGTTAGAGGCGCCAAAGCCAACAGTCACCACCCAAAATGCAGTCTGTTGTTAATGAAAGTAGTTGTCACAATAAGAAGGATATACGCAAGTAAAATTATTATACAAGGTATTTCACCAGCCCACATTTAAACCGTCTATCGACCATGCTAAAAACTACGACTCGTTCGCTGCATAAATTAAAGGCAGTCCACATGGAAAAAAAACAGCTCACAGTGCAGCACCAAGTACTTTACTCAGCAGCTCAGCTAGTAAAACCGTAGACTTTCCGTCCATATGTGGAAACTGCATTAGCAAATTGCTGTCAGAAGCCAAAATAATTTCCAAGCTAAACATTCCTGTCGTGCCTAGTCCTCTATATTTGGCAGGAAGTATCCCCTGCAGACTTCCGTCATAAAGATTCTGATTTCTGTTTGATTCTGAAGCAAAGTTTGGGTATATCCAGTGCAGCAGCTTGACAGGAACACCCAGCAAGAGCCTCTACTGTCAAATCCAATCAACAAAGAATGGAAGTCTCAGAGTAAACACTCAAAAATATGCATGGGAGAAGACTGCAGCCCTTATGGAAATGCCCATGTGCAATGAAGAGAATCCTGTAATAAACAAAGAATCAGCCCTCTTGGTTCTATTCCCAGTTAACTCAATCACTACCAGGTAACTCACGATGCATTTGTTAGTATCCATACATGCTTATAAACTATTTCGCCACATCCACCTTATACACTTTTCTTCGTTACCCATTGGTAAACTCCAGCAGAGAGTCATGGTTATTCGTGCACTTTTGGACTTTGGCCTTGTTCCAGGTCATGAGTTTTGTATGCACACTCATTTTAATAATCCGGCTTATTTGTTGTGAAAACACCTGGTTCCTTGCCTCCACACTGCTCCAATTTATTCTTAGCGTTCACAAGCTGTTAACTTTAGTGGAAAGTTCCAGTTGTTCATCCACTTCTGGACTTTAGTCTTGATCCAGAACTTCAGTTTTGCATGCACACTCCACTGAAATGGTGGGGTAGAAACTGAGTATTTATAGAACTCCTACATATCCAGCTTTTTTATTTATTCTGCCTACTCTTCAGGCACATTAGGCTGGATATTGAGGAGCCTACTGTATTCTGTAAGAAACTAATAAGTTAAAAATCAATGGCAATACCTCCTTCTACGTGGTTCACTAATTTAACATTCTCAGCAACTGGTGGTGTAGAAAGCACCTCCAAAGCAGGATCCAAGTTGTAGACACTAAATGTGGAAGCACCACCAACACATGAGCATTCACGAAAATAATTCAATTCTACCTGCAAAGAAGACAAAATACACCAAGTAAGTCAATAGAAGTTATAACATGACACTGGGCTACAACCTGGTATCAATGAGACGATAAAAGGAGAAAAATAAAAGTATTATACATTAATTAACAAGTACTACTGGAATGACAATGAATAAACTAACATATGACAAATAAGAGAGTGTGAATCACTGAATATTAAAAACAGGGGAAGCATATGAACAGCAGAAGAAAACAATTATGTAGAAAAAGAAGGAACAGAAGAAGGAGGAGGGGGAGAAGAAGGACAAGGAGATAATGAGGTGAGCTGAACTAAGAAGTGACATCACAGCAGTCAGGAAATTCCCACAAATGCTACATTCTCATCTTCAGCAGCCTGAGAATAATTCAATTCTGTGTGTTCCACTTGCAGTTGGATTACATGTCTGTCTGTGTAGTGTCAACCTGACCCCGCTGGTCTCTTCAGACCATGATCTATGTATGTTTCCACACAGTTCTATTTGTTCCTAAAAGGCCCTGACCCGAAGAACTAGTTTGTCATACACAGCAGTACAGAACCAGGCAACCTGTCTGCCTGTTAATTTCCTAGTACATCTGCATTACCCTGAGAAAAGATCTAAACTGCCCAGGACTTCTGAAGTGATGCTTGCAAGAAGATGATGAAGAAAAAAGAAGAAAGAATGAATTACGCAGCAGACACAAATTTACAAATGAACGAACTTTATTTTCAAAGGGTCACAAGTTGGGCACGCAGGCCAGTCTTATATTCAGCACTTCTAAACACCCATCTTTCACATAACAGTGGTATTTTATCAATAAAGCATGTTATGTTCAAATAACAATATGCATATATGAAAATCAAGATAAAAAACACTAAAGGGTGGATGGTAAAATGCATGCACACAGGCACACAAATACATCCACCCACTCATTAAATTCCTCTCTCTCTCTTATACACACACACACATATACATACATTCAAACATATACATATACACAGATACATACATATACACAAACATAAATACATACATACACACATACATACATACAGGCATACAAACACATGCATACCATACATACACACCCACTCATTCTTTTTCTTTTTATTCTTCTCTGCGTTTGGTTTCGTATGCTCAGATCAGACCTTCAGGTGGGTTGCTTCTATGAACTCGCAGCAGGTCGTTCATGATTGCCCATAGCTTGCTCTGCACAGTGCTCTTTTGTTTGTGGTCCTGTCTGACAGGCACACTGTAGGGACTGTACCATCTTTATTTTAAACATGTGGTAGTTAAGGCCTGCAGTGTCCTGTTCGTAGATGGAAAATTATTGTATGCTGCTTTCTGTTGAGTATCCGATGGGATCTTATGAATGTTTACTGTTAGTTTGTTCACTCCACAATTCCTTGTATTTTCCCTTGATGAGTGTTTAGATTTTTGAATGACAATAAATGGGTGTGTTGTTTCTCCTTTGTTTCATTTTTTGCAAGTCTGTCTGCTAACTCCTGGTATGCCACAGTGAGCTGGGATCCGCTAAAGAATGATTTGATTATTTTCTGAGCATCTGTTTAGCTGGCGGGTCAGTCCTCTATCCATGTTGTTTTGTAGATCCTCTGAGTTGCTTGGAGGACTGACATGCAGTCATAAAGTAAAACAATTTTGCGGCTTTCCTCAAGTTCTTTGGTTGAATCAATAACTGCTTGCTGCTCTGCTCTAAAGTTTGTTGAGTCTTCCTGAGACGCATGACGTTCCTATATTGCAGCATGATGATCGATCCAGCTCCTCCGTTTTTTTTTCTGCTTCCGCCAATGATCCTTGGGTGTGTACATGTGTCAATTCGGGTTGTAGGTAAGAGTTGTTGACATGTTACCCACTCATTCATTCGGATGCATATAGTCTAATATACCCATAAATATACTCTCATACATAAATACATACATAGATACATCCATAAACATACCCACATTTATACATAAACATACATATACACACTCATGTATACACACGCAATCATACATAAACAATCATGCACACTTAGACATCCACACGCACATACACATACTGACAAATACATACTCATACATTCTTATACATACACAAATACTCATACATACACGTGAACACAAATACTCATACATGCACTCTCACTCACACATACAAACTCAAATATACCCATACATTCACAAACACCTAAACATACACAAATAACCACATATACACAATCAAACACATTTACACTAACCCCATGGTCACCCATACATACATACATACATATATATACATATCCATTTATGCACAAACACCATTATGTACACAAAAGAACATCTATACCTACCTACATTCACAAAAGTCATACATACACAAACAATCCTACACATACATACACATCTTACACACACACTCATACATACACACATATATACATATTTATATATACATATACATACATAATATATTAATATATATATATATATATATATATATATATATATATATATATATATATATATATATATACTAGCTGTACCCGGCCACGCGTTGCTGTGGCATAGTTTGGCTAAATGGAAATGAAAGAAAATAGAAATTGCACGTGTCTAATACAATCATTGTCTGCTCAGATAAGAAATAGTCTTTGATCTCCACCCCACCCCCACCCCACAACTAAATCCACCTACTACCCTCTCCCTCATCAAAGGTTTTTGGAAAAGAAAGACAATGGAAATCGCACCTGTCTAATATAGTTAATGTCGCAATCATTCTCTGCACATTTATATAGAGATAGTCTGGTTTTCCAACTTTAGAACACGCACCATATAATTGTGTCTTTATATTAGTGGTCGTCTAAATGGTGCTATTAGCACGGTAACAAAAGTGGTTATTTGGTTATCTCATGCTAAAGCTGTTTGTATTTTTATAGGAGACGGAAGTAAAGCTACAACCGTACTTGTAAATAACAAAGTAAGTCGTAAAAAATAGAAAAGCGGAGGTAGCGTTAGTAAAATATAAACAAATTAGGTAATGAGAACTTGAAAATCACGTGTAAAGCTCTTTAAGTTCTCTTAAATGTAAGTCATTACCCCCCTCCCCTCCCCTCTTCCACCGACTACTGCTCTCTCCCTCTTCGAAATATTTGAAAATCATTACCTGGCGATATTTTGTTGTTGCTGTAACTGACATTGACATCCCTGTCCATCTGGACTAAAATGGGGAGCAGGAATTGTAATCGGTAGTGAATGGGGCTAGTGTAATTTTTACCACATCATCCTTCAAGTACCAGTACAACTACTAAAATAATGTCACTGCTATCTGTGTTACCATCGGAGTAGACAGAGAGTCGTAAGCCAGAAGATTTAGTTCCGCATGGCTAGTGCTGTCGCCACAGACTGGTCAGGTTAGGATGTATAATTTCACTTGCCGACAGAAGAACGCCATAACCTTACCGGCGGTCTTCACATGAGAGCACTATGGTGTAACAGCCCAACCACAACTATTACTGCTGCTGCTACTTTAAGTGGGTAAAGCAGTTACTGTGACTTAAAGCTCTCACAGTTAATAGTTTGCCCCCCCCCCCCTCCCCCCAAATTCACCGACAACTCTTTCCCACATTGAAGTAGTTGGAGAAAAAAAAAAAAAACTTGAAAAGCAAATGAACACAGGAAAAAAACACCATAATTAGGAAATGAACGCCATTGTAAACAGCTAAGCTTAAAATTCCAACACAGATGAAATAACTAAATCTAAATGAAAATAAATGAAAATCTATAAAATTTCAGCGTAACCATGCAATCGGAAAGTTTAACAATGCATTTTTTTTTAAATATAAAGGCAACATGGCTAGTGCTGTCACCATGACAGAGCAGATGAGGATATTATTTTAGTCCGGGGTAAAAAAAAAATTTAACTACTGCGGATTCGAACCCAGGTCTACCGCACTTGAACCCAGTGTTCTAACCATTCGACCAAGCAGCCACTTAATCGGAACAACATAAAGAGAACACAACTATTAGACATATGTGTCCCTACCACTGTGTCGCGATTAAAACACAATTCAAAACCGCAGGCAATTGTTTTCTCGTTGACAGATACTCCAGATATATTAATGAAATAGAAATCGCACGTGTCTAACACGGTTAATAAAGTTAATGTCGCAGTCACTGTCTGCACCGACGTCGAGATAGTCCTCGATTGCCCCCCCCCCCCCCCCCCAATCGAAGGTTGTTTAAAAAAAAACAGAAAATAGAAATCGTGTTTAATATGGTTATTGTGGCAAATATAGAGATAGTCTTGTTTGCTGTACCACGACCTACTCTATGTATTAGTATTAGAGAAGGCGTTGGCTGCACGTAACTCGCCGGCGAATGGTAAATACGGCGCATGCGCAATTACTAACGTGGCTATAATTAGAAATCACTAAAGTTATAAATATTAGTTGCGTATATTTTGGCATAAATTGTGGTCACCTATCTCTAACAGTGACAGGTTGAATTTCAAACCACGACGGTTCAAAATCCGGTATCACAACAAACATATCCTGAAAATTTCAGCTAAATCGCTTCAGTAGTTTCCGATTCTATAGAGACCAAACAAACACACAAACATTGATTTTTATATAGATATATATTGTGAGTTTTAGGGCCCCACTTTAGAGCTGGTTGGTGAGGGGAAGGTGGACTAATTAGGGATCTTTCCTTCAAAGTCTGAGTGCATCTGCCTGAGAGGCAAGGAACCAACAGTTTGCATGCAAATAGGCCATATTTATATAACGGATGTGTGTACAAACTTAGGTTCCGGACCAAGACAAAAGTCCAGAAGCGGACGAACAACCATAACTTTCTGCTGTAGTGTTCCACTTGTGAATTAGAAAAAGAATAAACAACATATTTATTATTTAAATGAATAGGACAAAAACACTACACTGTACAATTTATTGTCACACATATTTCACCTATCTCATCAGGTTCATTACTACAGAGTTTACATCAACACATCATGATGCATAAAACATGAACCCTTTTAACTAATGCACACAAATCACACTGTCATTTGTTATCCAGTATATCTCACCACAGAAGTCAAAGATTAACCGCTTGATACGTTTGATTATTTAATCTTCAGTATTTATGGTAGACAAATTTTCTAAGTTAAAGCAATGTTTCCCCATTGTAAATCTGAAGGACAAAAGATATAAACAAGTGACTGCACATTTTACCATATTTTGTCAGGTGCATATTACAGAAAGTAAAAAAATGAAGCACATAAATCAACCCGTCACAACTGAAATTGCAATGGCTAATTCTGTACGTTCGGTTGTAAAGGATTAATTTATTTGCTTATTTTAAATTACTACCGTAGTGTGCACCGGACGAGACACAGTGAAGTGAAATATGGCAGCTCAAAAATTGTGCTATCTATTATCTGTGTTTTCTTAGTTCAAATAATCTGAGATTGCACTTTACTTACAATCATGCATTTTGCATCAGTGACCTCCAACTCCAATGAAGGAACATTTTGACAGAGCAGGTAGCTCTGCAGTAACAACTGTATATGCTGTGAATGAAGAAATCAAATCTCTATTTAGCCGGACATACCAGGCAGAGATAATATACACACAACAGGAAATGACGCTGCATCATAGAATGTGAAAATACACAGACTTGGAAAACATGAAAGTGACAGTAAAAAGAAGGGAGAAACTTACTGAAAAGAAATACCACAGGGTACTACTAAGAAAAGGGCCAATATTATTTCAATTTTTACTTTGAATTAAAACTTCTTTTTTTTTTTTACATTTCGAGCCCTTGAGAGTTCAGTGTTGCACAGACCATCAGCCTCCTCTTTCCAGTTGCTAACCCAGTGTTCACACAGGTCTGCTTGTTTATTATTACCTCTCTGCTGTCTTCTTGGTCTCTTCGGGGTATAGCTCCACTTTTTTGTGTATACAGTTTTTGACTCTGTTATAAGGAAAAGTCATAAAGTAAGGGCAACTGTATCCTGGTTTGCGTAGAACAGTATGCAGAAGAAGGACAATTTTATTTCAGACGCCGAATGGCCTCTTAAAAAATTTTCAGACCGCGTGTCTTGGTGATTTAGCTGTATGCACATGCACAACAGCACATACAGGATGGCTGCAACACTGTTAACATACGCCGTGGAAAAACAACTAGGAGTTGTTAGTTTTTCTGGGCAAAGGCTGTCAAAGAATGAAGGTTAAAACATGGAGAGTTGTTTGTGTCAGAGGAAAGTGTGTGAATTTATTAAAAGATTTTAGAACGGGAGGGATAATATCAGAGATGACAAGCAGAATAGGAGACCTGTTAGCCTGGCAACAGAGATAGTAAAACATTGGTTAAGTGTAAACCTGCAAACGAACCGAAATATTTAAAAAAAGGAGTCACCATAACAGTTTATTTTTATACACATAAAGATGTGAGCCCGTTAATTTTCTGCTGTGTTCATTTTTATTGGTGACTCCACATATTCTGAATATAATTTAATATTTATTCTGAATATAATTTAATATTGTTTTAGTGGATAAACAGAATTGCTACACGGGGGTAGAGGGGGAGGGGGGTGTGTGTGTGTAAAATTTACTTTTTAAGGAGATTTTTTGGGTGTGTGTCTAATTAAGGGCCAATAGCATTTTTTGTTTTTTAACGTCATTAGGCGAGAAGGGTTAAAAACAACTGCATCCTCCCAATTTAAACTGTTAAAAAGTATTCAGTATCATCATGCAGCCAAGACATGCACTGGGTATATTGTGTTAGTCCCATCTGGCTATCAAATGACTCAGGTGGGTGATATTGTCAACATTACACTGGATGTATATATTCACTCATGCAGCAGGCCCTTTGCAGAATGTTGCTCCCGTCATAGCTGCTGCTTGACTAAAACTCCGCCCCTCCTCAGCTCTCCTGCCTCAAGCACCATCCTGCCCAAGGTGACTCTTATGACCTGTGCCCATCTGGTCTGTCCCTGCCTCTCTTATCTGGCACCATGTGCTCGATTACTGTTCTTTTTATTCCACTGTAACCTACAATATGGCTAACGCTTTTGAGTCTGCAAGGCAAGATGGTGTTTAGATCTGTTATTGTAACAATAATTCTATTCTTCATCTCTATTCTGGAGTGCATTTATTTCCCAGAAATTTCCCAGCACTCATTCTGATATGAATCAACCTGGAAGCACAGATTAACAGGAAATGAACTTACCTTCCTAATGTTGTCTTCAATCAGCGCCCGCTGTTCAGGAGTGACAAACGCATTTGTATCCGTATTTGATGCACTGAAAAGACACATCATAGAGTGACTAATAGCAGAAGGCAATTCAAAGGTATTTATGCAAACTAATCAAATATCAATGATATTCTTTCATTTGATGCATATACAAGACCACACACAAAAATTCTCAGTTTTGAAACATGCAGTGATGACTCAGCAGCGGTGCTGTTTAACCACGGCAGTCTTGTAAAGTATCTAATCCCGCATTTCTGTATAGCCCTCATTCACTAAAGTGGCATTGGTGTCTTGGCCAGTTCCCAAAATGCCTGGTTAGCGGAACTGGTTCTGGTTGCACCTGTGCAGTGTTTAGTAGCCCAGGATATCATATTTACTTAACATAGATTTGGGAGGGTGGGTGGGATCATTGTGTGAAAAAACTGTGTTTTAAAATTCATGATGATGTCATAATACCCCTTTGGCCTTTAGCAATCAGGGTTAAAGGTATGACTCGCCATATAACATTTTTTTTAAGCCTAAAGAAATTACTGAATTCTTCATTCTGTTCATATTTACTGATTACTCACTTTAATATATTTGGAAGAGAAAAATCTATGCATGCAAATAAAAAAAACTGTATTCACTAAAAATGCTTTTTGTTAAGATTTTTTAAGGAATAAAATAAACATTTTTTTTTTTTAGATTAAACTTCGAAGGGTTACTGGTACAAAGGAGTTAAATTGCAAAAACATTGCCATATTTTGTCCACAAAACCTTCATAAGAAAACTACTATAAATCAAATAAGTGATGGTGACTGGCCAAGGCATTAATGCCTGTTTAGCAGCGAAAATATTAGGGCGGTGTTTCAATATCTACATGGTTTTTTTTTCCAACTCCTGTTAGTTTCTGATCAGGTGACAATTTTTCTAACATAATTACTCAATCTAAGGAAAGCTGATTTCTCCACAGTCGCTCAAGTTTGTAATCATCAAATTGTGGAATGATTCCTCTACAGTCTGCATCAGAATGTGAAAGGGGGGAATAAAATAGGTCATCCCACAACAAAACATTGAAAATCACTATACATCTAAACAATAAAACAAAAACAACAGTCAAGAATGAAACAATGCATCAAGAGACACCATCAGCTCACTGGGGAGGGAAGTTGGGGGAGAGGGGGGGGGGGGGGGGGGCATTTCTACAAGATGATTAAACACATTAAAAATAAGAATTCTCAAATGTTATGCATGCTCAACCCTATTATATGAAGCAAAATCTCAGTGTAAAAAAAAAAAATTTGAATCAAGGGTTCTTTTTGTGTGTGAATATACAGAAAAAAAAAGTCCTATTTCATAAGAATAAAAACAATACGAACAAAGTTTTGAGGACCTTATCTTGAAGAACATCACCAAGAGGCCTTCAGGGTATGTTAGAAGGCTTTACATCTTTTAAATTAAAAAAATCAATATTCTGTTTCAAGTCTAGAAGAAAGCACAAGTCAAAGCAAACAGACATCATCTGCATAACAGGTAGGAGCTTCTATTAATACAATAAGATAATCATTAAAAGAGACATGAGTGTTAGCCATAACAATGTTACAAAATGAAAAGCAAGAAAAACTAAAAGAGAGCTCAGATGACATCAAAGATGTATGCAAGCATAAGCAAACTACCCATGAAGCCTGCAGACACAAGAAGTGACACAGAACATTTTATGAGATATCAGCTGGAACATAAATGTCACATAACAATATGATTAGTTCGAAACTTTTAAAGTTAGCAAAACAAAGAATATATACAGCTATAGGGAAAAGACAAGCACTGTTCTTTGGTGATGAGGGGGAAGGCTATGGAGAATGTTGTAACGAATGGAAAGATCAACGGTAAAAGAGAGAGAGGCAGACCAAGAGAGACGATGAATGGACTGCGTAAGTGGCATGGCGGGATATCATCGGTGAAAATGATCCAGAGAACAAAGGACAAAGACCTGGGGAGATACATAAATGCCTACGCCAGTCGGCAGGGCACATGATGATGAGCAAAACAAATTTACGAAGTTTACAGGTTTAATGATAAATTTTTCTTCTTTTTGTGTGTGCTGTGTTTGCCCCTACAAGGGCAGTTGGCACACTGTGCTGTGGTTTACATCTTCTTGCGACAACTGCCTTTTGGCGAAGAATATATGATTCAGCAAACTCTATTTACTTTGACTTTTACAACATAGCTTCCCTGTGTGGGTCCCGGGGCACTGTTATAGGGAAAACAAGAATAGACCCACTGCCTATCCAAAAGCATGTCGTAAGAGTACATTTTTGGGAGCTTCCTTCAAAGTCCGAGTGCATCTGCCTGAGAAGCAAGGAACCAGCAGTCTGCATACAAATGAGTCAGATGTTTAAACGGATGCACACGCAACACTCAGGTTCTGGAACAGGACTGCTGTCCAGGAGTGGATGAACAACCAGAACTTTCTGCCAGAGTTTACAGCTGGTGAACTCGAAGAAGAAGAAAACGTGGCTGTTAGTGGGCAGTGGGTCTACTCTTTTTCCCACAATCCACAGGGTGAAAGAATAGATGTACACACCATTATAAGACTCACCTTTTTGTGTCAGAGGTAGTGAATGCATTAGGCTGTTCCTCTGGCTGGCTGGGTTCAGAATTATTAGAAGTAATATGTGTCAAGTGTGGTGATGAAGGTGGTGGTGGCGGCACTCGTAGTGGTGGTGGTCTTTGTGGTGACGATCCCGATGGCGGAAGAGGAGTTTTGAATTTTGATAATGGATCTGAAGACTCTGGCTGTGAAACTCCGCTGCTATTCAACGATGATAATGATGTGGTGGGCATAGGCAGAGACGCTGTAGTAGCTTCAGTGGGTACAGATGAGGGTGCAGGCTGTGAAACTGCATGATGATCATCTTGTGATGAAGAAGGCATTTCCTGACTACCCGGCCACATTTTCCAGCTGCCTGTCACCTCGGTGGCACTCGCTACAACCTGATACGGCAGCGGCAACATGTCATTTTTGTAATACTCATACAGCTCCTCAACCAGTGTATCTACCTCTTTCACTGTCAACAGAAAAATAAAAATAATCTATAAATACAGTATCCCTCGACTTGAGACCGCATTCCATTCCAACTAATTTGACGTAAGTCAAACTTTTCAAAAGTCAAAATTTATTTTTCAACACTATTTCCATTTAAACAGGTTATAAAATTGCACAAGAAAAAAAATGCAATCTATGTACACATAATTATTGTACATAGTGTGAAAAATACACAATATGTACTTCAATTAATGTAGTAACTATAAAGGAAAAAACTTGTAAATTTTTGTTGTTGACATAGGTGCAAATTACACAGAATGTAAGTTGAAAAGAAAGTGTTTTTTAGAGAAGCAAAAAAGTTATCTCAGACTCATTTACAGGTTTAAGACAGACATGGCACAGTTTTCGGCATCCGTGGCTTAGGCACTGCAAGTCCGATTCCTACCGCGATCGAAACCCACTGGTAATCTGGTAATCTTAGTTATTTTAACTTCATAGCAAACGGGTAACCCCATTGTTGCTCCGCTCCTGTGCCAACGAAAAACACACAGAATGTTTATCACAGTCCCTTGTGTAAAGATTGACAGACTTCTGTCTCAGCATATGCACTAGCATACACACGCATTAAAAGCATACGGTAGCCATCCGAAGTGCTAACACAAACAGTCCGACATTAGAAATGCAATTCATCATGGATGGTAGAAGAAGTCACCAACATATCAGCAGTTGCACAGGCGATCAACTTCAATCACATAATCGCACCACCAATATTGCGACAACAGGCATCACGAGCTGGGCGACGAAACTATCCTTTCAATCTACAAATGGAGCAAAAATGCACCGGCCATCGTCTGGCAAAAGAAAAAAATATTGCCACGGCTCACAACAGTGACCATGCCTAGCCTCCATTTTGACCAGAAGTAGTGAGAGTTTTTTAACGGTCACCCCAGTGGTGCCCTCGTGCTGGGGAAGGGGCCAGGGGCGTAATGCCCATCAGCAAGGTGTCTCCCATGTACGACCTAACTGCCTTCTTTAACGATTGTGCACCCCATCATGTTTCTCTCATATACCATTATCCTTATATTCCAGCATACATTTATAAATACTACTGTCATGCATATATGCAGACATACACTTAAACATACTAGTAAGAGTTGTGACAACAATTAATAATAATTAACAGTTCACAAGCACTCACACATCAAAGTAGAGAGGAAAAGATAGGTACATGTACACATTAAAAAAACTGAGAGATAAGAAGAAGAGGAGGAGAAAGAGAGATCATTTAATGACTAATTCCTCCAGGAGGAAAGTGTTTATCAATGCTTTTGCACAGTAATCCACAAGTATTTGGTGTAGGGCATCAAAGGGTCAATGTTTTTATCTTGAGGCCCCGAATAGATGCCGTTCCGTACAGAAAATGTAAGAGACAAGTCTGAACGTCACTGATTCCTTGGATGTACTCATGTCTTTCTCTTAACCTTAAACTGTTGTGTGTTGGGCTTCTAGTGGGTCAAAAAAAATAAACTCGTTTCTCTGATAGCCTAGTGGAACTTCCTCCGACCAGTTTCATGAAACACACTGCTGGCTGTGTGGATTTGTATCATGATATGGGGCATCGCAGGTCTACCCAGCCTTAAATGGGTAGCAGGACGGTTGTCCTGGAGAAGAAAAGACGGCCGCCGTAATGCTGACCACATCATTACCCACCAAGTGTAGACTGGTCTGTAAAAAAATTAGTGATCTTCCCATATGCACGATGTGCCTAAAGGTCTTCTCATATTTGTTTCATTTCCTGATTTTCTGTGCCAGCGAAAAACACATTGAATTTTCAACACTGTCCCTTGTGAACAAAATTAACACAGATTGCAGTCGCAGCAAAGCCAACAGCATACAAATGCATTAAATGTATAAGGCAGTTATCAGATGTGCCATTACAAACAGAATGTTGAATTAGAAATCAACATCATAGCTCTCGGGACACCCCAATAAGCACTCCATCCCCATTTTCAGCAGCAAACAAAGAGTTCCAATTCTGACGGCACCAGTATATCCGTCTCACGCTCCCCTTAAGTGTTGAGCGTCGGCCAGATACCCTGGTAACTCCTCGCAGCGCCATTTTCCTCAGACCTTAATGATCTATTTGGGTTTCCGCACTGTTCAATCGCTCCCAGAGGGCACTGCTCACTCGCTCCCAGAGGGGCCTCACAACGTCTAGCTTTGTCAAACATCAATTCACCCCCAAGTGGTGCAGAATCGGCCAGTCTACCTGCCTGCTCATTTCCTAAAACACTGGCATGAGCTGGAGAGAATATCCAAAGGAAACTACCAGGAACCTCCAAAATGATGCTTGCCACTCTGCACGGGCCTTTTTTTTTAAATTTTTTAGTGCTCTATTTTATTGTTGTCTTCACGCTGCCAGGTGTTTCAGTCCTTGCCCTGAAGTGCATCTGAGACTCTTGCTGTCCCCTGAACCACCCCATAAACTTGACCAACAGAGCTATTGCTCCCTAACACGAGGGGAGAGAGTAATGGAAAGAACTGTCCCCACCCAAACTACTGTGGCTCCACACTTTAATCATAATTAGTTGTGGTGATCATGTTACTACATTTAAAAAACAAAAAATACTTGCTTGAAATTTTTGATAGTTTATCCCATCGGAAATCTTCTTCATCCGATTGCTCCTTCTCAGCCTCGAAGTTATAGTTGTACTCTGGGTCATTGGCATCAGCATCATCATCTGTCATTGGGTCATCTAAACAAAGAAAAGAAAACTGTGGCATGGTGTACAACTGGTTGTGGGAACTGTTGTAGCGTAGTGGTAGATACTTACCTGATTTGAACTTTTCCCAGGTTGCTTAGCCCAAAATGGGTACCAGGTTTAAGTAAAGGTGGTTGGAGTGATAGTGATCACATTATCTACTGAGTGACATTTGCTTTAAAAGAAATACGAGTCTAGCATCATATGTCTGACGCACCATTGGGGTTAAAAGGATCCTCCAGAATTTGTGGTGTATGTCGGATTCGTGAGAGGCTAGGAACTCAGTACTAGGGGAGAATCTCATCTGATAGGAAGTTTCATTTTTGTGCCAGGGCCCTCTGAGGTCAGAAGGAATGAACTGGCAGATTGGCTTGCTATTAGGGCCACGGTAGGTACAGGAAAAGCAACAGACCAAGTCCACATTTTCAGTGCTAAGCAATGTTTTCCCGTTGTGAGTTTGAACAAAGAAGAAGTCTACTATCTTGACCTCGAAGACAGCTTAGACATGCTTGGCTGAGCTTCTTCCCCAGGCTGTATGAGGGCTATTCCAAAATCAACCTCCAATTAGCTGGTATTTAAAAAAAAAAAGCTTGCATCATTCAGTAGGCTATTAACTCCCTGAACACCAACCTACAGTCGCATCTGTCCATTGGTTCATGAACAGCAAATGAATAAACATGGACACTGTCACCGCCTGTCTTATCAGCTGTAAAATGTCTGGTGTGATTCGTTTTCTTCAAGCAAAAGGCCGCAAAGCAATGAGCGGTGTCGCTATGGGAAACAATTTTTAATAACTGGACTAGCAACAGGCTCTACACCCCCCCCCCCCCCCCCAGTTCATACTGCATTTACAATATCAAAACTTTCAATGCCTCTTTCCACCTGTACTAATATATCACTTGACAGATGGTTATAGCCAGGGTACGAAAGGTGAAGTGAAAATTCCCTTCCCAGGCCTTGCCGTAAAATTCTGGAGACTGTTGGGTACCCACTTCTGTGATGTCGAGATTACTGTCTTAGCAGACAAATAAACTAACATCTATGCAACAATGACCCCTGAATACAGAGTGGAATTAGCTGCATATCCTATGCATGGCATTGCAACCACATAAATTGTTAGCTGTTTGTGGTTTTGCTAGGTAAAAATACTTTCAGAACATACCATTGTCATAATAAGGACAAAGAAGTCTGCTCCCAAATCACCTGCAGCTGGATAGAACCGAGTATGCTGAAAATATTAAAGTGTCTTAACAACCCCTAAGCCACAGGCGTCAACAAATACTGGGCATCCCAAAAGAATCTTGCTAAAAAATAACAATATATTCCCTAACATTTAAAAAATGCTTCCTATGCTGATTCCGGGGCCCCATTATAGGGGACACAAGAGCAGACCCAATGCCGCCACACCCCCCTCCCATCCCCCACAATAATGTTGTAAAAGACTGCTAGTCAAGGGTGTTGCCTTTAACATTGAAGTGCCTGACAGGCAAGGAACCAACAGTCTGCATGCAAATAAGCCAAATCTGTATAATCCATGTGCCCACAAAACTTTACTTCTGGAACAATACCAGTCCAGACGTGTACGAACAACCAGAATCTTCCACCAGAGTTTACAACCTGTGAATACAAAGAAAAAACTGAATGCATACACAAATACCTGTTGGTTTGTTCAGTGTCGAAAGGAACTGGACATAGTCAGGTTCATCACAATAATTATCATACATATCTGTTGTTATATCTGGGGCCACAAAGTTGCTCTCAATTTCTGTAATTGAAGTACTGGTGAGTGACTGCTTTGATCTTGTGCGAAGAGCTATCTGAAAATATATTGTCAAATATGAAGAAAGACACACTTTGTATGTAGCTAATGTAAAGTGATGTATCTGTAAGTGATTCAAACAGGTTTACTTTGAACTTTAAAACGGCACTGCCAGTCATTCAATCAGTTATATCTGAACAGCTACGTTTATTTTAAAACACGCCACATACATTTCTGTGACACTGAACTTACAATAATTTATGGTGTGAGATAAGTATTTAACTATAATTTCAAATCAGTACTATTGTGTCGAGCAAAAAAATATGAAATAATTACCAATTTTAAAAAACTACTAATATACTACAAACATTCACTAACTGACCACTGTGCAAAATACACAAAATTATACAGTATGACAAAATCAAAAATGTGGAGAATAGAGAGAGAACTAAACAAATACCAGTCAACCAAGAGGCAAGGAAAAGATAACAATGAATATGACACACACTATATAGAGAAGTAGCAGAAGAAGCGGGGATGGATGAAGAGAAGAAAGGTAAGAAGAATAAATTAACCTTACTTTCAAAGGGTCACAAACTGGGCAATACAGACCCGTCTTATATTTAGCCCCTTTAAACACCCCTCTTTAATATCACAATTGTATTTTATCTATAAAGCCTTTTATGTTCATACAACAGCATACCTTATCTGAAAATCAACTAAATCACAAAAGCATGGATGGCAAATGCATACATTCAAATATATATCACACACACAGACATGCTCTTATACATTCACAGTTGCACACACTCATACATCTAATTGGCAAACATTACCACATACTATAAGAAGAAGTAGAAAAGGATCGTAATTTGAAAAAATCTATTAGAAGCAACAAACATCTCGACAAACCCAATAAATTTATTTTTGTTAAATTTAATTACTGTATAACTTTAAACTTATACGTACATGAAACAAAACAGAATCTTAACAGGCCACAAACAATTGTCATTTATGTTACCGTATCAGCATGCTCTTCCCCAGTCAACTCTGTGTCGATTGTGAGCACATTATCAACACTTGTGTAACTGGTGTTAGGCAGGTCTGATTCAGCAACAGCATCACTGGTGACTTCTTTAGTGGCTGTGCTCTGCTGTAATTCAACAATTTAAAACAAAAATAAGTAAAAAATCTGGCTAACAAAGATTCCCAGGGAATCAGAGCACTCTGGCACCCTGGTTCTTAACAAAAATTAGTGACATCAAACCCTCTACAAGTGATGAAGGACTATGATATGAAACACCAGGAAGAATTCCTGATGTTATCATGGAAAGTGATTAACCTTCCAAACAACAGTCTCCCTAAATCCTCCCCCCTTTTCCTACTTCTATGTGCTGTGTCGCCATTTTTATCAAGGTACAAAAAAAACTTGTTTTGATGTCTTTTTTTTTATTTATTTATTTCAATATGACTCTTATTGTTAACTACATTTACAGTGTACAGTATTAAGCACACAAAAAATTTAAAATTTGAGTTTGTTGGACTCTGGTACAGATTAATTTAGCTTCCATTTTTTTCCTCAATGAGAAATAAGCATCGGACTAATGATTTTGAATTTAATCCCTGTCACAACAGATTATACTCAAATTCCAAGGTACGACTGTGTACAGACAACAAATCATAAGAATGAGGAGTATATAAAGAAGATAGATCCTACAGAGATGAAATATGAACATACACAGAATCAAGATCATACATGGAAGATGCACAGGACCAAGATCAAATAAAACACAGAAACCATACACATAGTTAAGATCCCACACAGAACATACACAGATCAATATCCCATTTAGAATATACAGAGAGAGAGGATCACATACAGAACATACATAGAATCAAGATCCCAGTTAGAACATACACAGAACCAAGATGACACGCAGAATCAAGACCACATACAGAACCTAGATCCCACACAGAACTAAGATCATACACGGAATACAAACACAACCAAGATCACCTTCAGCCTGTGTGTGCGTGTGTGTGATTTAACATAGATTTACTCTTTTATATACATATGTGTGTGTGTGATTATTCAAAAGTTGGTGGAACTCTTTTGCAGAATGTTGATATCACAGCCCAAAATCATATTCCATTTGTCTTCTGCCTCCTTTATGCACTTTTGCACATGATGGCTTCACATGTTCTGTATCCACCTTCCTGCTGGTCAACCCTTGCCCTTTTCCTTTCGCTTTCCATTACAGCCTTTTCTGAACCATTGAGGCATTCAATATAGTCAAAGTATCTGAATTTCTGACACATGACGCTGCACGCTTTACTCAATGTTATGAGTTAATAAAGAGCTTAGGTAATCCAATACTAAATACACCCACCTATAACAGCAATACACAAATAGCAATATGCAGGTTAACTTTATCATTCCCAAGCTGCTGATACTTACGCCCTTTCTATCCCATAAAGTTCAGCTTTAAAACATTACATAGTTATATCAGAATCAGTTCAAAGGAGTTATAATGGAATATAAGTTGTTGAACTAATAATTGAGAAAAAACAAGAGTTAACTTCACATCTGCCTGTCACAAAAGACAGCAAGTATATCATTTTATCTTTTCAATGACAAAGAAATGAATGGTGAGTTGTTTAGTACTGAAAGAGTTTTTACTGTCTGTATTTACTACTTTTTAGAGTGGTGTAGTTACAGGGCCTGAGTCTGCAGATTTAGGACTACGTGGCTACTGTTGTCTCCACAGACTGTGATGGTTAGGATGTTTAATTTGACCCCAGACAGAAATACCCCATCACCTTACGGAGGGGGGGGGGGGGATACACCCAGGTCCTCTGCATGAAAGCCTGACAATGTAGCCACTCGGCCATCTGCTCCTCACTAAAAGAGTTAAGTGAACATAACTTTTTAACTACAATGTTCAAAAGATTCAGTGATGACTTACAGCAGCTACCCTATCTCTTGAAGGTGTCCTAATGGGGGTGGATGAAAAGTCTCGGTATGGTGAACCAAATTCGCTCAGTTTGGAAGATGTGATGCTTTCATCATCACTTTCTGGAAACTGGTGAAAAGTAAAAGTGCATTAAATAGTTACTCTAGGAAATCTAAATGAATCACAGAAAAGTTAACAAATTCAACACAGACAACAACAAACAAACAAACTTTTTAAAATATAATACAAATCAGAGGATTTCTGTGTACAATCTAACAATCTCAAGTGTGTACCCTCAGGGTGCACATTAAGGTTGTTGTAGAAAAGTTCATATATCAGAGTTTAGGGACAGCTGTGAAGATGGTATAAGAAAGCATGAGTGGTAAAGCAAGCGGACAAGCCAGGACTTTTTTTCATATGTTAATCAACAAGAACACTATTCCGCTTGAGACAGGTTTTGGTCACATGTATTAACTGAGTGTATATACAGAAGAAAAGGCCGTACTTCACGGAAACCAAAAAAAAAACAGTCCAATACAAAAGTTCTGGAAATGCTACAAATGAAAAGAGAATGGCTTGTAGTTCTGATGGTATAAATGTGATATGATAGACATAAGATAATAATCAACCAGATGTAAGAACAAACCACTGATTTTACACATAGAAAAATCTTCTGCTTCATTTTAGCAGCACTTCATTCATTTACTGTAAACTCTGGCAGAAAGTTCTGGTTGTTCGTCCATTTCTAGACTTTGATCCCATTCTAGAACTTGAGTTATGCATGCATTTCAGCTTTAATTCTTCTACATTTTTCATTCGCTTAAAAAAAAATTATCTTTATCTGCAATGCCATCTCTAGCATGAACTTCACTGTCTTTCACTGTAATTCACTTAGCAGCTTGTAAAGTTTGGCTTTCACCAGTGTCTCTCTTAGCCAGAAACTTTGCTTGGAAATGTTGTATTTGGGACAGTCTTTGAGGATGTAATCTGCTGTCTCAGGTGCCAGTCCATATATGCACATGGCTGATTTGACAATCTTAAATTTTGTGTACATATTGGCTGCGAAGTTGACTGTGTCCTGTTCTAAGGCTCAGGATAAGGACTTGCTCTGGTCTGTCCATAATAGGGTAATCGTCTTAAGCTGGTTTCGGTGGCTTTCTGATCTATTTGATCATTCTCTTCTTCTGTTGATAAGAGACTGGTATGTCAGTTTGTTCTTTAGTTGCACTTTCCTTAGCTAGTTTATCAGCTTTCTAATTTCTGGGAACTCTACAGCGGGACGGTATCCACTGCATAGCTACCCTGCACCAGTTGCCTAGTTCAGAGAGTAGTGCCTGTATACCTAATATCTGCTTTACCAATCTGGACTATTTGTATGTTTACTTTCATGGCATGCTTGTTAGGGGGTAGTTGGTATATTTTTTTGCCCAAAATGAGGCCCAAGAAATCCACATAGGGAACAAAAAAAAATCAAAAGCTATAAAAGCACATATATGAAAAATACTTGTTGAAATCTGACACCAAGCCCTACACAAAAGTGCAACATTCTTCTTCCTCTTCTTCACTTCCTCTTTTACCGCTGTGGGTGTTGAGGGAGATATAAGGTTCTGTTTCTAGCTCTTCTGGCTGCCTCGACCATAGGCACATCGTGCTGTTGTAGAGTTTCTCTGATGTTATCCTTCCATCTTGTTCTTGGTCTACCCCGTGCTCTACGTCCTTCTTCTCTTCCCATGTATGCTTTGTAAACATTACAGTTATAAAATTATTCCTACAGTTTTTGTATATCTTTACTGTACGATTTCACAAACAGTGGTAAATGAAGGGAAAAGAATTGTGATGCACAAGCTATGAAGCTTCTAAAGCGGTCAGGGTTGACACATAACATTTTCATATTTGTGCAGGCAAGCAAGGAAATTAGTAAGCTGATAGGCCTACAGGTAAAGCTACTGAGTAGGGTGGACGAGCCATGGACCAGGCAGATATTCTGAATACTCTAAAAAAAAGTAAGAAGTTTGCGAGAACTAAATGATGACTGTGAATCTGCAAGCATGTCCAGAGTGCAAGAACAATATGTTCTTTTTCTTATTCTTTGCATTCAGTAGCTGTAAACTCCAGTGACAAGTTCTGGTTTTTTGTCCACCTCTGGAATTTAGTCTTGTTCCAAAACCTGAGTGTTGCATGCACATTCATTTAACAAATCCGACCTAATTGTATGCAGATTGTCGGTTCCTTGCTTTTCAGGCAGATGCACTCTGACTTCAAAGAAAGCCCCCAATTAGTCGACTCTTACGACATGCTTGCTAGGGAAGCAGTGGGTCTATTCTTGTTTTTCCCATATCAGGGCCCCGGAACCAACATGGGGAGAACAATATGTTAAAAGGGGTGTACCAGACAAAGCACTATGCAGGAAGCCAAAGAAGAATAAGAAACCAACAGAGAACTGGTGTTTCCCTGAGAGGCAAGGAACCAGCAGTCTGCATACAAATGAGTCATCAGACCTGTGAAACAGATATGCACGCAACACTCAGTTTCTGAAACAGGGCTAGAGTCCAGAAGTGGATGAACAACCAGAACTCTCCCCCGGAGTTTAAAGCTGGTGAATGCAAATAAGAAAGCTGGTGTTGTGTGCCGCTACATGCTATGGTATTTACTAAGGAGGGGATTCAAGCACTCATGGACTGGAAGGTTTGTTGTGCAATGAGGATAATCTGTCGACTAACTAAGCTATGAAGTAAATTATGCACTTAAGAAAATTGAGATAAAAATCATGAATGCTAACCTCTTCATCTTTTTCAGGGTTGTACTCATCATCATCATCGTCTTCCTCATTAAACTCAACATCCATAATACTAGGGCCTTCTCTTGCAGCCTTAACAGGAGATGACATCTGCGAACATTGCAATGTAAACACACTGAAACATCAAATAATGAAAATCTATATTTCCTAAAGTCTCATCATCAAGTGCAATGGCAAAAAGTGTAGGTGAATCAAGATTAGCAATCACAGGCACACATGGATCACTTCTGTGTTACTTGTCTTGACATGCCATTTGGCAAGCCATGTAGGTATTTACAATATTTATGAAACTGTCATCTCACTGCTCTTTTTTACATCAAGTTTATCAGTTGTCTCTAAGTTTAAAGTCTTTTTTTTTTTCAAATCCTTTGCCTGGTCAATTTATTGTTTTCATTTATTTACTGGAGGAATGCATTATTTGTGTTTTCCACCAGTCCTTGATATTCTTTTTAATTTGGTTGAGGGATATTGAAAGAATGTCAGATGAAAGAGAAGTAAAAACTCTATACACAAGGGAGATGAATGGTTATAGACCACGAGGCACACCAAGAAGGCTATAAAGAAATAATGTCCAGACAGACCTGCAAACACTTGGTGTCACCAACTTGAAAGAGAAGGCCAACCAGAGAGATGGACGGATTTTGATGATATCTGCAGCAATGAACCTCAAGGGCACGGAATGCTAAAGAAGAAGAAGAAGAAGAAGAAAAATTGTATGGAGAAAGAAATGAGAAAAATGTGGATAAGATGAGGGCAAGGAACGAGTTGCCCAGGAGGCTTAACATGATATGATAGAGGTTGTATGCTCTATGAGGAGAAAAAGAGAAGAGGATCAAGACTGTAACATGGGGACACATATTTAGAGACAGTAATGCAAGGACTTCAATTCAGTCAATTTTATTTTGTTTCTTCAAAACCGTTTACTTTTAATGTTCAATAACCTATGTCATACATAATTGGTTTCCGGTTTGTGTCAAGATGGCGGGACGTGTTTCTCTCTAGCCCGACGCATATCGGTTGATCGACGGTCCGGCAAGCTGTCATCGCAAACCACCAATTGTTGTAGAATCAGATTTCTGGCTCTAACTGCATGATGATTCGTTCTAATCTGTTAAATTCGAAGGACATCTTTAAAATTGGTTACTGGAATGTTAGAACCATGTATCAAACGGGGAAAACAGCTCAAGTGTGTAATGTTGTGAACGATTACAACCTGGATATTCTCGGTGTCAGTGAGTGTAGATGGACTGGTTCGGGTAAAATATTTTTAAGTTGTGAACAAAAACATATAATCTATTCGGGAAGAACAGACAACCACCATTCAAACAGAGTGGCCATCATTATGTCAAAAACAACGGAAAAATCGCTAATCGGCTGGGAACCAGTAAATGACAGAATTTTAACAGCGCGCTTTCAGACCAAACATTTCAAACTAACTATTATACCTACGCACCTACGAACAACGACAGCAACAAAGATCATTTCTACGACCTCCTGGTTGGTGTCATAAACAAAACTCCTAAGCACGATCTCCTTGTTGTAATGGGCGATTTTAATGCCAAGTTAGGGTCTGACAACCAAGGTGTTCAAAAATATATGGGAGTACACAGCCCAGGAGATATGAATCAAAATGGAGAGAGGCTAATTGAACTCTGTGAAATAGCAAATCTAACAGTAGCAAGCTCCTTAATTCCGCACAAAGACATACATAAAATAACCTGGATTTCGCCAGATAACATAACAAAAAACCAGATAGATCATTTTTGCATCAGCGCCAAATTCCGTACATCAGTGCAAGACGTTAGAGCCTACAGGGGAGCTGATATTGGCAGTGATCATAATCTTTGTATTGCCAAATTAAAAATTAAACTCAAGTCTCTACTTAAACCACCCAGAAATAAGAAAATAAACTTACAAGCCCTTTTGTCAAAAGATCATCAAAGCGCATTTAATGCAGAGATACTCACCACCTAAATAACCAAAACTAGTAATGCGGATACTACAAATAACATAGACAAAAATTGGGACTTTTTCAAGAACACACTGACGAACACTGCAGTAATCACAGTTGGTTATGTACAAAAACAGAAAAAGAAGTGGCTAAGCGACAACACTTGGTCAAAAATCCAAGAAAGGAAACAAGCAAAATTAACACTTTTATCAAAAAAAGACACATCTTCATACGAAAAATACAGCACGCTAGACAAAGAAGTGAAATCAAATGCAAGGAAAGACAAACAGAACTTCATACACGACCTCGCCTCCGATGCTGAAACAGCTGCCAAGATTGGAAACAACAAAGCCGTATTCCATATTATGAAACAACTGTGCAATCACTCACCTACACTAAATACACCCATTAAAGACAAGCAGGGTAAACTACTGCTATCCGACGACCAACAAACAAAGCGATGGGCAGAACATTTCAAGGAAATATTAAATAGACCAAATCCTGACATCATTCCCAATCTAGAAGAAGAAATTATTACACCGACACTAGTTGCCTCCAGCGAGCCATTCACAATAGAGGAGATTAAAACAGCTATTAAAAAATTAAGAATAAACAAAGCTACCGGAGAGGACAACATCTCAGGGGAAATGCTCAAAGCGCCCTGCAACATTTGCTCCAGCTGATGGATGAAGTCTGGCAAAACGAATACCCACCACAACAATGGAAAGATGGTGTAATCTTCAAATTTTCTAAAAAAGGCGATTTATCCAATTGTAACAACTGGAGAGGCATCACCCTGCTTTCGATACCAGGGAAACTATTTTGTAGTATGCTACTAGAAAGATTGAAAAAATCCATAGATAAAAGATTAAGGGAGGAACAAGCTGGTTTTAGATCCAAGCGGTCATGCATAGACCACATCTTTACTCTTAGAATAATTGTTGAAGATTCTAAAGAATTCCAGTCGAAATTATTGATCAACTTTGTCGACTTCCAAAAAGCCTTCGACAGTATCCATCGTCCAACACTCGTCCCAATCAAATATATCAACATCATAAAATCTTTTTATAATGAAACACGATGCTGTGTAAGAACTGAATCCGGCAATTCTGACTGGTTCCTGGTGGGAACAGGAGTGAAGCAAGGCTGTGTCCTATCGCCGATGCTTTTTGGTATAGCAATCGACTGGGTCATGCGCAAGTGCATAAATAACGCAAATTTAGGCATTACATGGGTTGACAAAATTCTGGAAGACCTAGACTTCGCCGACGACATAGCACTCCTGAGTTCAAAACACATAGACGCCCAACAAAAAATCAATCGACTCCAGAATTTCTCAGAACAAATTGGACTCCAAATTAACACCGCAAAAACAAAAAATTCTAGACCTTACCAACAGTTCAGTTGATATCACGCTGAACAACAACAGCTTTGAAAAAGTCAACAGCTTCACTTATCTAGGGAGCAAGATGTCATCTACAGGAGATACCGCACCAGAAATACCATTTAGAATAGCACTGGCATCTAGTGCCTTCAATAAACTGTCCAACATCTGGAAATCAAAGACACTTAGCAAACACACAAAACTCAAGATCTTCAATTCTTGTGTGATTCCAGTACTAACCTATGGATGCGAGAGCTGGAAATCAACGAAAACTCTAGACACAAAATTAGACAATTTTGAAAATAAATGCCTTAGAAGAATACTAAATTTCAAATGGTCAGATTTCCGAACCAATACACAAATAAGGCAAGAATCCAGGCAAGAGTATGTGTCTAATTTTATACGAAAACGCCGCTGGAACTATGTCGGCCACGCCCTTAGAATGGATAAATCAAGACTTCCTTACCAAGCCCTCATTTGGACACCACAGGGGAAAAGATCTCGTGGAAGACCAAGGAAAACTCTACGTAGAACTATCATCAGAGAAGGCTCGCTCATGGGCCACTCAAACTTCCAAGACCTACAACAGATTGCAACGAACCGCCATGCATGGAGAGTCATGACCTCTGCCCTATGTGCCGCACTCGACACAAGAGGAAAGACTAACTAACTAATACATAATTAAAATATTCATTTTACATTTTTAAAACACCCTGTATATGTTAAAGCTTATAAAATTAATATACCGAAGACAGAAAGGAGGAGCTGCTGCTGGCCAAACTGTTAAGAATACAGGGCTCTCATGGAAAGACCTGGGCTAGAATCATCAGTAAGGTTTGGGTTTTTCAGTCAGGAGAAAAATGAAATCCTAACCTGCGTAGTACATGGGACAGCAAAACTCACAGGCTTAAAAATAAAAAAAATAAAAACCTGCCTTCACTGCAAAAGTGGTAAATACAGACAGTAAAAACAGGTTTTTTTTTAACACAACAATGTGATTACACATACTATGTACTCAAACACTAGACATTTATCAAAGATGAGTCCATTCAAGGCAACACTCACACTAATTTTCTCAAGAAATTCCCTGACTCTCGCCCTTGTCATTGTTGGCAAATGTTCAAAAAGAGAAGCTGCAACATCTACTTTCTTTGCTCCAGATGGTCCTGGGGTGTCATGCTGGGCTGATTCTAAGAGATCTTTGAAGATTTTCAAGACTTGCTCATTTGCTGGAAGCTGCTGAAAAGATGTTGAATAAAGTAACACTGGATGAATGATGTGCTTTTTTAATGAAATGGTGACCGCAGGTTAGCAGGCACGTGTGTGTGTACACATGTGAGTGCGTGTGTACACATGCATGCTTGCAAAGAAGAAGAGTTTGGAGATGAAAAGGGGAAACTCAGAAATAAAAGTTATGTGTGAGCCTTTAATGCTGTGATAACCGGATAACTTTTATGAACATCAATAGATAGAGACAAGGGGAAGTTGCATTCTCACCTCTCAGGCAGATGCATCCTGACTCGGAAGGAAACACCCCGAATTAATCACCTTTCATGATATGGTTGTTGAAGGACCAGTGGGTCTACTCCCCCCCCCCCAAACAATGGAGGTCCGAAAACCCACATGGCAAATGTAACATCACTGACAGATTTCTTATGTGGGTGTCAGGGCCCCAATAAGACGGATCTGTAGAACGGATGTGCATGCCAAACTCAAAAATTCAAAATCTGATGAACAACCAGTTAACCCTAAGCA